CCTAAGGCCTTAGAGTGGTTCTCAGTCCTGACCCGCCGTTCTTGTGTTTTCCCCCCTGACAGTGTGGTCGAGCTCAACATCGGCATCCTCTGCGCCTGTGTTCCGGTGTTCTTCGTCGTGTTGCGCACCTGGCTGCAGCGAACCGAGTCGGGGTTCGTGTACCTCAAACAACGGCTGACGTTGTCACGGGCGAGCAAATCCACGGTGGCCCTGAGCGACCAGGCGCATAAGCCGGGCGTCTCCCTCGACATTCCGACCGGTACCTTGTCAGGGCTGAGGTCGATGTTCCGCAGACCGAAGCCGATCGACCCGGAAGAAGGCAAACTGGGGATCCAGGTTTCGCATTATTATGAGCTCCAGTCGGTGGATGTCGACTACCATGCGCATCTCCGGGGCGATTCCGCCAGCGGGAGGGACCCATCGCTGAGGGGCGGCGTCAAGGGGGGGGTTCCGGGGGGTGCTTAGGGGGGGGGGGCTGAGACATCGTCCTGCTATCCTGTGGGACTTGTTCGCATCACTATTGAACGCAATCCCCCCAATCCATTCCACCTAGAAACTACTCAAGATTGCCATTCTATACTATAGCTCAAATATGTATATCGCCCCGTTTTTGTTATTGGGCCGCCTTCAGTTTCTTAACCGCCATCAGATGTGTTGACCAGTTGGGTTGTGAATTCAATATGATAGGTTTATGAGTTCCTAGAGCGATCCAACACCCCGATCAATGCTCAGACACTTCTTCAGGTCCATGGATTGCTCGCAAAGCTCGGCTCCTGTCAACATCGAGCAGGGCTATGATCGCACGTGATCTACTACCGGGGGGACGAGAATGGTCCGGGTGCAGATCGCGTAAGACTCTGGGGGGGCTGAAATGGATGACTTGGGTGATTGATCTAATTGGATTTCATATGTTTGCTAGATGTATGCCCAATCCCAGAACCCCTGATCTAAGGGAGGCTGGTGGAGAGGATTCACCATCCGCCCGCCCGGACTGGGGTCGGTCGAACGAAAGTGAAACGTAAGCACTTGGCCAAGTGAGGCTTGGTATGCATGCCTATGGGACATGGATATAACCTGCACCATCTGGTGCTGTGACACTGGGGGGTTCTGATTAGCCAGCAGCAGTAAGTACCTCATCTTAGGGTCCCACTACCCCTCCTCCAGTTTCTTTGTCCCTCTGTTGACCAACTTTACCTGATCTTACTTAGTATCAACTTTTGTCTTGCCTCGTCATCCTATCCAGGCCATCCGCAGATGAGTACAGAGTACTTTAAAAAGTCCACCCATCCAGCGAACCAAACCCACCCCCTTTTCTTCCTCCAACTTCCTCTTGGCCCAATTTCCTTCCAAAGCAAACCTCCATCAATCAAAAAAACAATGACCGCCTCTTCCCACATTGAAAATTACGACCAATCCACCTACTGGATTGCTCACGCCCACAATTTCCGTTCCTCGGCGCGCCTGCACCTCCAGCACTTCCTGTACCAAAACACCCTCGACTATCTCCTGGAGCCGGCAATCACCAAAGCCGTGACGGCCGCGCAGCAGCCGCTGAAGATCGCCGATCTGGCCTGTGGCAATGGCGTCTGGCTCACCGAGCTCCACACGCAATTGACCCAGAAGAACCCCGATCTCTCTGTCCAGCTGGATGGCTTCGACATCAACCCCGTCAACTTCCCCGCCGCGGCCTACCTGCCCGCCGGCGTGTCGCTGCAGCCGCTCGACATCCTGGCCCAGCCTCTTCCGGCCGCGCTGCGGGGTGCCTATGATGTGGTGCACATCCGCGCCTTCGCGAGTCTGATCGGCCCGGACTCCGACCTCACCCCAATCCTCGCGGTGGCCGCGGCCCTGCTCAAGCCCGGCGGCTACCTCCAGTGGGAGGAGAACCGCGGGGATCTGTTTCTGGTCGAGGCCCCCACCCCCGAGGTCTCCACGGCCGCCTGCAGCCAGGCCTCCCAGATCCTGCAGGGCGGGCTGCGCGCCAAGGGCATCAGCAACGCCTGGGTGGACGCCCTGGACACGCAGCTCACGCGGTTCGGCTTCCAGGAGGCCCGGCTGCGGCCCCACAACAAGCGGCCCCAGGACTACAAGGGCTGGACGGAGAACTATCTGATCGTGTGGGAGGAACTCGCCGCGCTGTTTCCCCCCAAGGCCGAGGCGCCCAGTGCGCCCGTCTCCCGCGAGGCCTGGGTCGCCCTGTTCACCGCCGCCGTCAAGGAGACGGAGCAGGGCGTTGTCGTGCATCAGGGCCGCGTTGTCACCGCGGTCGGACGGAAGCCGCTGGCCTGAATTTGTGGTCTACTTTGGTATCGAGACCGGATCCGGTTAGATATGATGTCAATCAATGTATAAGTTGATATAGCTAGCTCTGGGAGCGAACCTTAGAATAGAACTGGCTACTCGGATGCTCTTCTAGCACAGTCTTGCTCTCGCTCGGGCAAACCTCATTACAGGTCTTGAGGACCGGATTAGGTGTAGCAGCGCCCCCCCGCCCTTCCCCCCTGACCTCTTAATCACTGCTTCCAGACCAATACATCTATTCACCACCGGACTTGCTCCTCCTCTAGGCGAGTCAGTCTACTCAGAATTAGTGCCATAAGAAGTGGGGGTGCCTGCGGCGACATTGATCATTACCGGAATTGGGCAAGCGCGTGTGCGATGACCAACGCAACCTGCATGGCAGATGTAATTCACACAGACTTACGGTGCTGAGAAGGACCATCAAGCGTGCAAATCCCGAGACCCTAAAGCGGCTTCGCTTCGCAACCCCGGGAAGTCTCAGCCTAGTGGAGGGAGAAGTCAAGCGCCGTCTTCAAAACGACCAAGGCAGCGAGGTCTGGTCTTGCCAAGGACCCCACGATTTATTTGGCGGGATATAGGTAGGCTCTACTATCCAAGCACGGTCCCAGCCATGGAAAGCAAGCGAGGAAGCGAACGAGACAGTGAGACCTTAACAAACACCCATTTTCCTGCATGCAAACGGGCGAGCGGGGCAGCGAGTGGGTGTGAGTGCATGCATTTCATCCCTCGTCAAACGAGTATTGTATGTGCTGTCTGTTGTTGCGCAAGGCCGACGCAGTTGCAATCATCCTATCAACCAATTCAACTCCAAGTGGGACCGATCTCCGAGCCCCTCTTTCAGTCTACCACCCTGCTTCATGCCTCTCTCTCGCTGTGTGCGTGTCTCTCTCCACGCTAACGCACGCTCATTGTTTGCCCACCAACAGGAACCTCCCCCACCCGGGTGCAGCTGTCATCCTCCCTTCTTGATTGATGGGATCGCGGTATCCTGGGATTGCACTTGCATCAGCCTCGCCGACGGAGAGCACAGCCCTCACCTTGCCAGAATATCCAGTCGTCCCCCTCCTCACGCCATAGCATTGCCTCGGTTGGTGGTCTACATAAGTAGTAGCGGTGCAGAGAGGAAGCTGCTGGTGCCTGCAGAAACGCTTTTCCCTGCAAGTGCCACCAAGCGTCCACCACGCATCCACCATGTTGTCACTGCTGCTTCTCAGCATAGTGATGGTAGCTTCGGTCTGGCTCTGCCGCCGGATCTGGTACGAACGGTTCCACCGATACCGTCAATTCCCCCAACTGCCCACATCTCTGCTCTGGGGTCACCTGAAGATCTACCATGAGATCGCCCAGTGGGGGTTCCAGGACGGTGATCACGGTAAATCTGCACCTTTGCACTTCTCTGCACCGAAGCGTTTGTCTGGAAGTGTGTGTGTGCGTTCCATGACTCGGATCACTAAAATAGTACGGATGCAGACCACATCTTCGCGCAGATCCATGAAACCCTCGGCCGACCCCCGGTGTTTCTGTTCGATTACCGCCCGATCTGCCGGCCGGTGCTGGTGATCGCGAGCCACGAGGTGGCGGAGCAGATCTCGCGGCCCAGCCAGCAGTTCCGCTTCAGCGTGCCGAAACTGGGGCTGGGCTTTCTCGAGCCCGTCATCGGCCACACCTCCATTCTCGCCGCCGAGGGCGAGGAGTGGAAGGCGCTGCGCAGGACCTTCAGCCCCTGGTTCTCCCCGCAGAACCTGCAGGCCCTGGTGCCCACCGTCGTGGCGCAGACGCGGGGGTTCGTCGCGCAGCTCGACGCCCTCGCCGGCTCCGGGGACCCCATCCCCCTCGTCACCCTCACCACGAACCTGATGTACGACATCATCGGCGCCGCCCTCCTCGACGAGGACCTGGACGCCCAGCACCTGGACCCGCGCCGCCAGAGCCCGCTGGTGCGCGCCTTCAACCACCTCATCCACGCCTACTGGGACGACCAGATCCACCTCCCCTGGTTCTTCAACCCGGTCAACGCCCTGCGGCGCCGCCGCCGCGGGGCCCGCGTCCAGCGCCTCCTGCAATCCCTCGTCCGGCGCAAGCACGCCGAGCTGCAGGCTCAGACGCAGCAGACGCAGCAGGACAAACCACCCGCGCCACGCAGCATCACCGCTCTAGCCCTCCACCCCACCATGCAAGACCCCCTGACGCCCGCCCTCCTCACCCAAACCAGCGACCAGCTGCGCACCTTCCTGCTGGGCGGGCACGACTCCCCCAGCGCGACCCTCGCCTGGGCGCTGTACGAGCTCTCGCGCACCCCGCGGGCCCAAGCCGCGCTGCACGCCGAGCTCGACACGCTCTTCGGCGAGGACACCCGCGCCGACCCCACAGCCGTGCAGGCCGCGCTCGCCTCGCCGACAACGGGCCCCTCCCTCCTCCGCCGCATGGTCTACCTCGACGCCGTCCTCAAGGAGACCCTGCGCCTGCACCCGCCGGCCTCGACGGCGCGGTACGCGCCGGGTGAGGGGGGGCGGGGGGGGAGGGGGGAGGGGCTCACCGTGCGCCTGCCCGCGGGCGCCTCCTCCACGAACCCAACCCCCCCGGAGTCAAAGACCCTCGGCATCGACGACCTGATCCTCTACAACTGCCCCGCCATCATCCACCGCGACCCCGCCGTTTTCGGGCCCGACGCCCACGTCTTCCGGCCTGAGCGGTGGTTGGGAGTTGACCAGGACTGCGACCAGGACTGCGACCACGACCACGACCAGGACCATGACCACGACCACGGAAACAACAACAACAACAGCACCACCACCACCAACGCAATCCCCCCCAGCGCGTGGCGGCCGTACGAGCGCGGGCCCCGCGCCTGCATCGGGCAGGAGTTCGCGCGGCTGGTGATGCGCGTGGCGCTGGCGGTGGTGGGGCGGCGGTATGCGTTCAGCAAGGTCGGGCTGGGGGCGGTGGTGCGCGAGGCGGCGACGGGGCGGCCCGTTTTGCGGCCGGATGGGCAGGCGGAGGTGGAGGGGGTGGTGTATACGGTGAGTTTTCCCTTTTCTTCTTTGTCATGTTCTTCTTCTTGCGCTGGGCTGGGCTGGAGGGTGGTGGGGACTCACGCTGACGGCAGCCGCTGCGCTGCGGGGTGTGGGGCTGGTAGACGCGGCAGATCACGGCGAGGCCGGTGGATGGGTTGATGATGACGGTTCGGGAGATGGGGTGGTGAGACTTGAGAGAGGAAAGGGGGCTTTGGTGGTTTCCGAGGCGTGGAGGCTTTTGAGGTTCCCAGGGTGATGCCGGGGCTGGGTAGACATGGTTTGTGGGCGTTTCGCAGTCTAATGCACTTCATCGATCGTTGATCGACCACGTCACACCACCACCACCACCACCACCACCACCGCCACCACCGCCACCTACCAGATCCACGTCAAGGTTCAATAGACAAACCCTGGATAGCACTGCTACCCACACAACTCTTACTGCTGGCCTACCATACTGTAATTCCATATTGTTATAGGACAGCTACTGGCTACTCTTTTACTGCAGGCATAGCCTCATCGATCAAGCTGCATTCCAACATCAGTTATCCTAATTCATAAGCATCTGGAGGCAATCCTCTTTTGTTTCTTATCTGGTATTCATTAAACACATGCAAAGGCACGCTGGTAAACATCATAGTCAAAGCACTGACAGCACAGCCCCAAGGCTGCACCACTAAACCCACAGCACAAACCACTACTCCCGCTTCGGGGGAGGCGAGAACGCCTTCTTCCACCGGAAACTCAGCAGATCGCCGACAACCTCCTTGGTCTGAGCAAGGTTCTCCTTGACGATCTCCGACGTGGGCCGCGAGAAGAGCTCGTCGATCTCCTCGAGGGACTTGTTCTTCGTCTCGGGCATGAAGATGATCTGGTAGATCCAGCCGACGAAGGCGATACCCCCGTAGAAGCCGAGGGTCAGACCAGTCCGCGTCATCGCCTTCATCATGCGCGTGAAGTTGTAGGTCACGATGAAAGAGCACAGGAAGAGGTTGGCGTCCGCCACGGTCATTCCGTAATGACGGAGGTAGGTGGGGAAGACCTCCGATGGGATGACCCAGGTGAGACAGGCATAGGATCCGAAGAAGCCCATGTACAGGATAATGCCGGTGAGATAGACCCCTTCAGCGGCAGCCGGGTGGGTGGTGTAGTTGAATTGGTAGCCCACACCGACGAGGACTAGACCGATGAAGAAACCGGGGAGCATGACGTTGGCCCAATAACGCCGGCCGAACCGTTCCATGTAGATCACAGCGGGAATGGTGCCCAGGAGAAGTGAGCCACCGCCAACAAGGGACATGAATACACTATTCTTCGTGTTGAATCCAATGTTGGTCATGAGGGTGCTCATGTAGTACATGACGGCGTTCACACCCGTCAACTGGCCGAGAACAATCATGATATTGGCATAGACAAGCGCACGACGAGCACGGGGCTTGGTGAAGAAGTCCAACCAGGCGTATTTCTTGGTGTTCTGCTGCTCCTCGGCCTCGGCGAGGACGGCCTGGCGCATACCCAGGAACTCGTCCTTAGCTTCGTAGGTGTCAAAGCCGCGGATGCGTTTCCACACTCCGTAGGCTTCCACGGCCCGACCCTTGTGCATCAGGTAACGGGGACTCTCGGGCAGGAAGAACATACCCACCAGGAGGATGGTGGAGAAAACCAAGGAGGAACCGAGGATGTAGCGCCAGTTGCCGGTGACGTCGAGGAACATGGCAGCCACGGCGTAGCCCAACACCTCACCCAGGGCGATGTTCAGCTGGTACAAGGAAACGAGATTGCCACGAATACGACTGGGGACTGGAAGAGGTCAGCGTGCTGGCCTTACAGTAGAAGCAGACAGGAAGCAACATGGACATACCACTCTCGGCGACGTAGACAGGGACCGTACCACCCTCCAGGCCGACACCGGCTCCGAGGATGAAACGACCAGCAAAGATCATACCAAAGTTCACGGCACCAGCCTCCAGGGCGGCACCAACCGTGTAGAGGATACAAGAGACAATGATAGACATACGACGGCCCAGGTACTCATTGGACGGGGACAGAAGGATAGCACCAGCCACGGCCCCCAGGGGCATACCGGAGTCGACCAGACTGCTTTGGTTGTCACTGAGGTGCAGCGCATCGCCCAAAAAGAGATTAGCACCACTGATGAGGGACTGGTCCAGACCGGACAACAGACCACCCATGGAGGCGAAGGCGACCAGCATGTAGGTGTAGATAGCCGGGCTGGAGAAGGCGACCTCGAAGCGGGACTTGGGCATCTCCCTCAATTGCTGCTCCAGCTCCTGCAACTCTGCATCCATGGCAGCCTCAGTGAGCTCCTCCATGGCCTTGGGGTCCTTGTGGATGTCGTCCATCTCGACGGCGGTGCCGTCCTTGTGGTCATCGTGGGCGGTGTCCAAATCGTGCATGGTACCCATGATTGGCTAATGGGGCGGCTGTGCCAGCTGCAGGTATTATTTTTGTGTACTGTGTAACAATAGGCGGTTTATCCCGGATCTATGTACTGTATGTCTGCGCGACCACAGTTGACCACAGCCTCAAGAGTAGAACGAGGACTGAGGTGAAAAGGGAGGGATGACCACCACGAGGGGGGGGGGGGGGGGGAGAGAGGAATGAGAAGCGGGGAAGCGTGCAGATCGAGTGCAACCATTCCGGGGGGTGAAGAGGGGAATGCACGAGGCTTTTAAAGGCAAGGCGCATCAGGCCAGCAACGCCCAAAGACCCCAGAAGATCCAGTGTCACCCTGGTTGATTGACTGACCGACTGACCATCATCGTCATTGTTGAAAATTTCCACGAGAGCCAAGCAGGACTGGGGTCGGCAGGCACAACCGCGTCATCGGGCCGTCTGGCCAGACTTGGAAGCCGAAACGACCAGGGATTGCCAGCCAGAAAGGACAGGCGGGATAGAGAATGACCAGGGAGTGGGGCCACCATGGCCAGAGAGAGAGTCAGCCAGAGAGCCTAAAACGAACTAAGTCGACTAGATGAATCCAATTCCGCCCAGTAGAGCCAGTAAACCCAGTAAACACGAGAAAAGTTCGGGATGGAGAGAAATCCACAAGGGTAAGTGGGAGTGGAGACAAAATGCGGATTGCGGAGAAAATCCAGCGAGAAAGTTCCCCGTGGGCAGCCAAAGCGGCCTTAGCGTTAGGTAAGCCGAGCCGAAATTTCTCTTCTTTTTCGTCTTCTCCAATGCCGGCAACGGGACAATTTCGGAGACTCTCCGGCACCATTCCACTGATTCCACCTTGGTGAATGGCCCCGCGTGACTGTCGGACTGTCTGACTGCCCGCTTCTTCTCTCCAGTTCCCGACTCTTCCCCATAATATCTTGTTTGGAGTTAGTTTAGTAGTTACAGAATGGAGCTGTACAGTACTGTACTTGTACTAAGCATGGTTGCGCCATTTTCCACCCCCACGTATTCAACAATGCCCAACATGGGCACAATCCAACCCATTCAGCGTTAATACTTTATCCACGATGCCTGCCGTCCAGCTGAAGCCTTCACCTGTCTTTTCTTTCCCTTTCGTTCTCTCAGGGATTCCGACTTCCCCATTCGCTCCCCTGGCTGAGAATCGAAAAACAAAAAAAAGCTTCCCGGTCGTTCAACCACGGCTGAGGTTCAACCCTCGTCCAAACTACACGTAAAACTAAAACCCGCCCAGGAGTTGCAACCCCCACACATTCTGCATCATTCGGCCATGGGGGAAGGTTTGCCCTGCTCTCTGGGGGTTGGAGTGGATTTGTGGGTTGGCAGAAAATAATAACACAGAATGAAACAATGTTATCACGTAGTTGGGAAAGCAAGGAAAAAAGAAGTCAGCGGGGTTGCATTATTATGGCTATGAACTTATTAGAGACAGACATCATAGTCGCAACAACAGATCAAAACCATCGCATCGCTAATCAAATACACACAAGACAGCACAGCACAGCAAGAGAATCTTCTCTTTAACAACCCGCTGGGAGAAAGAAAGTAATTATGTAAACCGCATCGCATCCCCAATATGGCCCTTGGGGGACCTCAACTCACTAATTTCTCACTTTTCCTCATTCTCCTTCCTACTGAGTACTCACCCCGCCCTTCTCCATCGGCACCACCCGACTGTGTAAAAAGACGAAAGACTAAAACCAGCAAGTCCGCATCTTTTCCCTGCAGGTCGGGTGTTGGTGCCCCCCCCCCCCCCCCCCTCCCCCCCCCCTTTTTTTTTTTTTTTTTTTTTTTTTTTTTTTTTTTTTTTTTTTTTTTCTTTTTTTTTTCTCTTTGACTCCGGGCTATTCCTTCACTCCCTCCCACACCACCAGGATTTAGCTCCCAAGGTCAGTCAGGCATCATTGGTTCCTTGCCATTATCGTCGACCCGGCATCCCTACCGGTTTTCGTGCGCTAGGATCCGCTCCCCCGGCCACGTAGGGTGAACCCGGCCGACTGCTCGGATTCTGGCCGGGGCTGGGCGACCGGCCCCCATGCAGGCGTGCCCGGAGTCGTTCCTGGGCCGACGCTGCGCGCTCCAGCGGTTGTTGCGTCGCGCCGCCGCCGGTCACGGGGCCCGAGATCGTCTGGTAGGATCCGGCGCGCTGACTGGGCAGGGGACGGCCGCCCCCGGCTGGGTGGTGAGGGTGCTGCTGCATTGCCGACGGGGTCGGGGACAGGCTGTTGTGGGCGATTGGGCCTCCCGGAGCACTCGCCGTCGCCGACAGCGGTGCCCCCATGCTGTTGTGGATGCTGTTGTTATTTCCCCCGGCGGTCATGCGACCCCGGCGCAAACTGGATGTCTGGGAGGTGGGAGGCGTGGCCGAGCCCGCATCTCCCCACAGGTCGCCCAGTCCACCACCACCACCACCACCGCTGCCGCTGCCGCCGCTGCCGCCACGTCCGTATGCTGATGACGCTGGGGCGCCACCAGCAGCGCCGGGTGGGATCTGGGAGGTCGCGATGACCCGCGCCGGTGCCGGCGCGGGGGCTTTCGGGTCCGGGGGCAGCCACGAGGGATACGGTCGCCCCTTTTCGGTGTAGTAGGCGCGCAGCACGTTCGAGATGTGCGAGCAGTCCTCGTTGTCCGGGTCGTCGCGCTCGTCGCCCGACGTGATGGCCCGTTTCAGGGAGTTGAGCCGGGTGCCCAGGTTCGAGATGGCCGACGAGGACGTCAGCGACGAGAAGTATGAAGTCATTCTGTTGTAGTTTGCTGCCCGTCCCTGGCCGTGCGATTGTTTTTGCGAGGTGGAGGAGGGGGGGAACCAGAGAAAAGGGTTGAAGGATCAGCCAATGGTGGGGTATCAAGCGGTTGAGACGAGGGGTGAAGGACAATGCGGAGGAAGGCGGAAGAGAGTAGGCAGCAGGGCGCCCTGCAAGGTGAGAGCAACCAGGGTCGTAAAGTAGCCGTCAAAGGCGAATCGCAAAAAGGCTTGGGACACGGTATGCCGAAGATGCCAGACACGACGTGTAGTTAGCAGGAACAGGAGTTGAGCAAGCACCCTCGTAAGGGGAGTTTGGCATTGATTGGGGATTGACTGATCATGTTGGCGATCCACTCTCCGTGTTTCACTCCGCCCGCTGGCCGCACAGCACGTGAGCCGCCGGCCTGCCACACCGCTAACTGGTAACCATGCAAGGAACAACGGCAGGCAACTACTCCGTAGAAGCTTCGCTACATCTTCCGAAATCTACGACCAACACCAGCACCAGCGCCATCATCAGAACAATCATTCAACAAGCTATATGCAATGGCTGGGTATGATATGCCCGATCGCAGCATGAGAAACAACGAAAGAAAGAAAAAAAAAGGTAAGTCAGTAGATAGATACATCAACGAAACTCGAACCGAAACAACGCCATACGAAAACACGACCACAACCGAGCTTTTTGTAATAAAACCCCCATCCTCTCCAAAAGTCCTGCAATGGGGCTTAAGCCAGGACCTTTCCAGGCCCCTCAGTCTCATACTCGATCTCGATGCGAGGACCCTTCTTGCGGGGCTTGGCCTGGGGAGCAGGACGCTTGCGCTTGAAGCCGGGAGCGGGCTTCTTCTTGGCGGCGCCCTCATCCTCACTGTGCTGCGAGTCATCCTCCTCCTCGCTGTCCTCCTCATCCTCACTATCATCCTCCTCGTCCTCACTGAAATCCTCACTATCATCGGCGGACTCCCCACCGATCCAATCCTCCAGATCCTCCAGATCACTCTCCTCAACATCACTAACATACTCGACCTGCCCGACGCCCTCCTCGCCTTCCTCCTCCAACTCCTCCTCATCGTCAATCTGCTCCCCATCATCGAGATCCTCGTCGCGCTCGCCCTCGCCCGTGCGCTCCAGCCCGCGCAGCACCTTCTTCCAGATCCCCTCCTCGACGTTGAGCGGCCGGTCCCCGTAGGCCCCGCTGCGCAGGCGCTCGATCAGCTCGCGCTCAATGGCGCGCTCGATCTTGGCGGCGGACTCCGCCTTGCGCTCGCGGGTGGCCTCGCGACGCCGCACCTTGGGCGCCAGGCGGGGCACGACGGTCTCGCCCAGGCGCTCCTCCTCCTTGGCGAGGCGCCGCATGCGCAGCGACACCTGCGTCAGCCGCGTCAGCCGCTGCTTGCACTTGTGCACCAGGAACTTGGGCCAGTAGATCAGCCGCTCGTCCAGCTGCTCCAGCGCCTTGGCGTAGTTGCTCGACAGCCGGACCCGCTCCCACCACTTGGACGGCATGTGCGCCCGCTCCACCGTCTTCATGTACAGGTACATCACCCCGGTCTCCGGGTCCGACCGCACCGTCGCGTACCGCGAGTTGGCCAGCGGGCACGATTGCCGGTTGCACAGCCCCGAGACGTTGTATTCATTGCGGCAGAAGTTTTGGCCCTTGGTGGTTCTGCAATTTCATTATTAGCATTGTGCCGGGAAGAAATGCTAGGCATGCGTAGTGTAGAATTGGTGGGACTCTTTTTGTTTTCTTTCGACGATGCGGGAAGAAAAATGACACCGAGGGAGAAAAAAAAAAAAAAACTCACTTCAGTTTGTAGGAACAAAACTGCTGGTTGATCACCTGCCAGACAATCTCGTCGGACGACATCTTTCCGTTTGAAATCGGTGACTTGCTTGAGGCGCAAGTTTCGAGCTTGATCACAGATTACAAGCCGGATTGTCGGTGATGGTTTGGGTCCGGGGGGCCACCAGAACTTTGCGATGCGGCGGTGGAGAGGAGACGAGGAAGGTGAAAAAAAGTTGCCGCAGTGATCGGGTCACGTGAGGGGTGGTTTTCCCAAACCTTTTTTTCTTATCGATAAGGCTAGGCCATCCTTCCCTCATCCAAACACAATCCTCTGAATTGAATTGGACTGATGATTGTTGATTAGTCGCGGTTTCATCCCGGTACCATGCACTACCGGATCTGCTGCTGGGTGACGCAGGATATGCTACCCCGTCTGATACAATTCACCTCTATCTATTCTGCAATGTACGTATTACCACCCACTTTCCATCTGCAGGGGAGCCCCATCCCATTCAGTCCCGTTCACCATCGGTCCACCGCCCGCTGCTGCTGCTGCTGCCGCCGCCGCCGCAGCAGCGGCCAACTCGGCTTCCTCGCTACTGCCCGGGAACCCCTCATCCCCAGCCATTCCCCATCCCATCGCCTCAAGCTCTCTGGTGAAAAAGTCCCGCTCTTCCTCCATAAGAGACGCGCCCTCCTCGCCGCCCATCACGTCCTTGTACCGTCGGAGGTGCCACCAGTGGGTGAGTCCGCGCAGCGCCTGCTCGAGCGGCAACGCCTCCTCGACCTCCGCATCGATGTCCGCACCCGAGAGCCAGTCATCCCGTAGCTCCGGCCGACAGTAGAGGTAGATGGCAGTGATTACACGCATGTTGCTCTGGCGCCACTTGCGGCCGCAGAACGGGACCTGCGACTTGAAGAGCTTGAGCGTGTAGAAGCGCAGGTGCGGGTCGGGGATCTTGAGTCCCTTGCGGAGGATAGTGCTGGACTTGTACTGCACCAGCAAGAGGCACCGGTGCGCCTTGTCGCGCGTGATCTTCTGCATGATGTGCAGGTAGTTGATCGCGGAGAAGAAGTTGCGGAAGGAGAACTCGGTGATCGGCTCCTTGGGCGGCGGCGCAATCGGGTACCCGAGCTCGTCCACCTCGGGACGATGGGGCCCCTCGCTGAACTCCGGAAGCAGGGATTCGGGCGACGGCCCTCGGACGGAGGAGTGGCCGGTCGTGTCCTGGCGTTGGCGGGTGATGGGCGGAGGGATCGCTTCGTCCTCGCTGGGCAAGGATTCGTCGTCCAGGTCGGCGGGCGGATGGTCGGACTTGAGATGACAAAATCGGAAGAAGCTGCTCGGAGTGCCGGTTAACAACCCACCCTCAGAATGAGATGAAAACAAATCACATACCCCAGCTCGTCGCGATCATTCTTCTGCGCAACCGCTTGATCAACGTCTTGGTGAGCAAACATCTTGAGAATCAGAGGTAGATAGTTGGAATCAAGAAGCAACTGCGTCATGTACTCAAACTTGAGTATATCTAGGCCTCGTTAGCCTGGCTCGTAGACGCCAAGTCAAAACTACCTACGAGATCGCTTGAACCACTTGAGCAGGAGCAGGAAAGATCCTGATATAGCCTTGGAGGTGATCTCTCGGAGCCGCACATTGTCCAGCTCGTCAATTGCTGCTTCAATGCTCCGCTCTCCAGGGCCATGGTGTAAGGCGGATGGGTATCCATTGGCCGGGCCATAGTTGTCACTTGAAAGGCATGATTATCAGCCTTGATTTATCAAAACGGCAGGAAGTCACGAAACCACTTACCCCATCCCTTGTCCATTCTGTCCGTTAGCCTGATTGACCATAGCACTGACGTTCGTCAAGATTATCTTGAGGAAGACGATCGTGATGGACTGTAAATGCACTAGCGCTTGTCTCTGCAGCGGCAGTTAGGTCCTGATCAATTCCCTAAGCCCGCAGAGCACTCACGTAGAATGATTCAACAGCATCTAAGCGTTGTTGAATGTCTTCATTTTCTGTTTCTTTGTCGGAGGGCTGATCAACACTCGATCTTTCTCTGACATTGAATCCCAGGTTGCGCATCTCATCTGCTAGTTCTTCTGTCTCAAACTCGGTCGACGGAAACGTCTCATTCGGGCACCAGCCGCGGTCATACTTCATGAAACGCTCTCTCTCCTCCCACAGTTGCTGCATCGCCCGGGTCATCTTGACGTGGGTCGAGAATAACTTGCCCGCCTCGATAATCGAAGCGGGAACATCACTACCCTCCCATCTCTTGCCTACCAGAACGTCTTGCAGCTCGGTTGTCCCTTTTCCGCCGAGATCGTTGCTCGAATTATCCAGGGGTGGATACATGAAGGGGAAGTTCTGGTTGGTCTGGTAATTTTGCTTCTTTCCCGCCTTACCGCCGGGTCCGATTGGAGAGGGCGGCGGAGAAGGGGCCGGCGTTGCGATGTGGACGGATTGGTGGATGATCGAGCCACTTCCGCCCGCTACGGAGGGTCCCACGCCGGAAAATGGACCGTTAGAAGTGTTGATTCGACTGGGGTGCTGAGGAAGCGGTGGCAGGATCGAGTTGTTCTCTAATTCCAGGGGCACCACTGGGGGTGGTGGGTTGTAGGCAGGATACTTGGACGTGATCTCCTGTCTGAAGTTGTGGTAATCGAGCGGCGAGGCAGTAAGAAAAGGAGTCCTGCGCGGTGAAGCGTTCTCTCGTGCCTCAAAGGCGGGCTCCAGTGCCTTCTTGGCCTCCTTCAACTTGCTACTACCTCCAAAGAAGAGGAGTATGGTCTTCCAAAACAGAAGAATGATACGAGTGAGAGGAATATTGGCCGAGTCATCCCAGCGCAACCTTGCAATGATCTCAACTAAGAATACCAGCAGATTTGGCTCCAGATGCATGAGAGTCTCCCGTAAGGATGCATTCTTCGGGTCAAGGATCTCCTGCCTTCGAGCGACTTCCACGATGAAATATAGTGGCGTCAGTAGCAGGTTCGCCTCGCGTTCCATGTATGCTGAATTGGCGGAATCGGGGCCGGCGCCCTCCGGCCCTTGGGAGGACGAGCTTCGGTGCCTCTCGAAGATCCGGCATAAGCAAACCAACAAGGCCTGAATACCACCACATTCGTGGAGGAGATGAACACTATGCTCAATCCATTTGACTTGTAATGATTTGTTCTCCGGAATTTCAGCGCCCGGGGGAGAGACACCTCCAGGATAGTCAGGTGCAACCTCTCCAGCGGTGACACCCCACACGCCTGTCACGGCATAACAAAGTGCTTCCGAAGCCTCAAACCGCACTATCCCCGTACTTTCGCCTAGCCCGTCGACGATATGGCTCATGAATGCCTTCTGCAAGTCTCGCGGAGCGGCAAGCCAATTCTGCTGCGAGGGGTCTACCGAGCGATCCTCACAGAAGGTGTGCCACTTGTGCTCAAAGGACCACTTCATGCCGACCAGCATGGCCCGATCGTACTCATTGTACTGGAACCACTCTTCAATCTCCTCTACAAACGATTGGGCGTCAGCATATTCGAAAGCGTATGCCGGTTGTTCCACTTTGGGCATCTCCTGGACCAGTTGCCTTAGTTGCGCCAAACTCAGCGAGTCGGGTGGTGCGTCCTGGTTCTGGTTCTGGTTCTGGTTCTGGTTCTGGTTCTGGTTGTGCTGGACAGGCGCGGGCGGCGGAGGCTGAAGAGGGGGCGGCGGGGCGGAAGAGTCCCGGCGCAGCTCTGGGCGTCGCGGCGGCAACTTCTCCGCCCCCCTGGGAGCTTGTTCCAGTGTACTAGTCGTGGGTGCATGGTCGGAAAACGCCTGCTGCTCCTGTCGCAGCTCCTCGGCAACCTCTTCCAGCATTTGGTCATCCGAGACAGTGCTGATATCCGTGCCTGTCTGGTCGACTTCGTCCGCCTTCACAATATGCTGCTCCTCCAGGCCAGCATCGGAGGGCATTGGAGGATCATCCATTGCGCGGGAAAAACAAAATATTTTCCAACTAGTATACCCACTTTTCAGCCTCTTCAAATGAATAAAACACGAGCAAAGAGTTGAGCTGGTTCAGTTCTTCAAAATACTCAACAGGGATTAATGCTGAGGTGAACCGAGGCTTTGTCAGGGGGCGAGTGGAACAAGAGACTAGCCGTTTAGCCTAAATAGTGACTAGTAGTCATGCAAATTGAACAAGAGAGAGAACCATTCCACATGACGTGTAGTCAAACTAGAGACATACTTTGTCCGGCAGAGCTGGACGTCCAAATAAGAAAGCGGCGCTCGGCACTGGGCAGCATTCTTAATGAATGGAGGGGGAGCCGTCGATCCGCGGAAGTCACCGGTCACGTGCAAGGAACGGCCTAGCCAAGCGGAGGCTTTGGTTCCGGCTATGGGTGGTGCATTGTAATCTACTCAATGTCTAGATTTGCTTCAGGCTTCAGTTTTTTTTTTTTTTTTTTTTTTTTTTTTTTTGGTTTCTTCGAGTAGATTTGTACAAAGTGAAGCCCAAGATTGAAGTGCTAAGGTCCTCTCAGCACTGAACGTCTTGAAGTTGAATTCTCTCGATGCGTCGTGTCACTATATATCCTAACGCCTATCCGCCATTGGTCGTCTTCCCGGTTTTGAGTTAAGGACATCCTGCGTTTCATTCCGAAAGAGGCAAGAAAACCAAAATGAGATGACGACCAAGCTCTACACCTGCTAAGGCTAAAATCATTGTTCTATGGACTCAGGTAAAAGGTACTGTTCCCGGATCCTCCACTGAAGTTTCACATAGTGTTGCTGACCCGAGTGCCGAAGGCTCATAGACTACCGAGCCATGCACGTCAACCACAGGCTCCTAGTTGTAAAGGCAGGCGTGTGGTGGGAACGACATATTCATCAAACAGAGGGACCGTTGGGTAGCCCTACTCCCTGATTAGCACCTAACGGCGCATGCACATTTCATTCGGTTTTCTTTGAACGATGCTCACTGTTTCCTTTCCGCTTCGGAGCCCGCTTCGCTTCCGAGTGTCGCCATCCGGCCTCTACAAGGTCCTCATTTACCACTAAGTCGCGAAGCCGGAAGAACTTCGAGACTTTCAAGTCTAGTACCCAGTCGATCCAGCCAAGAACGCGGATCTGCCGCGTAACGAAAAACCACGCGAGCGCACACGAGGCACCCGCACTACAGCCCGCCAGGACCTGCTTGGGAGTGTGATAGTTCAGGTAAACGCGACTGACAGCCACTGCAGCAGCAGCGACGCACAACACAAGAGAGAGGAGTGCTCGGACCCCAAAGTGAACCGTGGCTGCTGGGCGGGTCAAGGCAGGGGAATGTCGGAGAACCAAGAAGAGTCCAGCGTATACGGCAAAAAAAGCCATAAACTGGGCATGCGACGATGGCATGCCATAGCCCTTGCCGAACATTTCTGCGGCAGGCGTTAGTTTGGACCAGATATTTCATTTTTCTTTTTCCTTTTTGTCTTGCCCTGGGTAAATTAACTTACGTTTTGGCCTTTCTTCCTTGATGATACGCTTTAGGATAAAGTTCAGCGCCTCACAGCCCATCTGACCAGCAAACATCAAGATGACTTCGACTTCTCTGGACGCCCAGGCAAGGGTGACATAGGAGATGACCAGGGCCTGGGGCACTAAAGCAAGATAAGCGGATACATAGGAGAGCAGATCCTCAGGATTCTGCCTTTGTTAGCATAGAGCAATGCATAATCAGTTCTTCGAGCGCTCGTCACCCTAGGCGCCAAAGATGGGAACGTACATAATGGACATGGGTCAGTGATAAGGATGCTAGGGGGGCGTCCGCCATTGTGTTGTAGTTGTCGGCCTGTTGTGGTGCCGGAAACTGATATCTGGGAGATCTTCTTCTCAACCGACCCTCAATTCAGGCCAGGACAAGGTATGCTTCTTAAAGATGAATGAGATGATAGCAATGGACCAGCAGCGACTGTCCGGCGGAGTGACAGACCAAGTGATGACCTCCTAATCACACAACATCATATCGTGCAGGTGTCAAAATCAATGTTGTTGGCGGAGAAGACTGTTGGTGGTTGTTTACACGAATATTTTGAAGCTTCTCTCCAAGCCGATGTCCATAAGGAATAATACTTTCAATAATCAATCATCAGTTTAAGAATTCAAGATGTCCAGTCGATGTCCAGTCAAGGAACTGAGAACGGGAGGCGGGCGGAGTGGGTCCGCAAGGGGAAAAGCCAAGTCACGGGGGGGTTTTGTTAAAGCGGCGGGGGAAAAGGAGGGGCAGGCAGGGCCGCAGGGGAAATCCTTTCGGCCTTGTCGCCTCAGGCCGGGTCGGCCGTAACTAACTTATCTCTGAGTCAGGTTTTGTTTTCAGTAACTTTCAAACACTCCCAACACTAACAACCTGAACTATTAATGCAAGACTGGGCAGCAAAGCCCCAGCTAGCTCAGTTCTCTATGCCTGACTCCCTTGATTATAACTATTCTGGTTCCCACTCCTCTTTCCTCTGAGTATTCTAGCTCGCCTGCCTTAGTTGCCTCTACTTACTCTATTGCTGTACCAACTGCTCTTCCTAACCCACTGACCGTGACTGTGTTATCCTATCCTCTCTTATCTCGGGCCCCCCAAACCATGACGCACTTCTCCTCACGTCCTCACTCCGATTCTTCTTTCTACATACTCTCTAGACTGCGAATAATACAAAACTCTCTTTGTTCCATTCATTCTCTGTCCGCTTCTAACTCTTTTGATTCCCCGACGGTTCCACCGCCCCCATAATACTAATTGTCTAGACCGCACACACGCCCGCACACACGCCTGCAGTACCTGAGAGGTCCGACCTTCCGCCCGCCACCCTCGATAATCGCATTGTCTGATTGACTAATCCGTGGTTTAGCAGCAGAACTCTTCCCTCTTCTGTCGCCTCATCGCTCACCACCTGCCATTCAAAATTGTCTATGTAGGGAATGCATGTTATCGACGGTGGGCGCTATCAGACTGAGGGACTTCGAATCGGACATTGCGCACTTCCATCGCGTTGACGCACCTCAATTGCCACCCGTCATCTCGCCATCCCAAATACAAAACAACCTGCGAACGATAACCCTCCACGGAAGACGTGCGTTGCCTCTGGGCTAGTCCTGCGGAAAGAACGCCCGGAACCATCATGACAGAGTCTGAGTCGGTTAACGAAGATGACCGCTCGGTCGAGCTGTCGTCTATCGCTGCTATCTTCCCGGAAATAACAATCGACCCTGTCTCGCCGTACAAAGCTTCGCTAGACATACCTGTCAAACCATCCAGACCCGTACGCGTGCGCTTTCAGCAGCCACAGCAGCAACAGCAGCTACCCGAGAACGTCTTTCCGGCTATTTTGACCCCTCCCACGTCCGTCGACGCCGGCGAAAACGGGTTCCCGTTCAAGGCCGAGGAGCAAATCGTTCCAGCCGAACCCGACAATGAAGTCCATATCATATCGCATTTCCCTCCTCTTTGCCTCGAGATCGAGCTACCTGAAGGCTATCCAGCCGAGCAAGCGCCTTTCTTCAATCTCGAAACAAACCCTGCCTGGTTACCTTCCTCGACATTGTCTGAACTCGTAGATGATGGCAAGCGTCTTTGGGAGGAGTGCGGCAGGGACTTGGTGGTTTACACATACATCGACCACCTTCAGCAGTTATGTGACACGGGATTCGGCTCTAGTGGTAGCTCCGACGGCGAGATGCAGCTTTCTCGAGACCTGAAAATCGCGCTGTTGGATTTCAACAATAAGGCTGAACAGGAAATGTTCGAACAGGAGACCTTTGAATGTGGTGTCTGCCTGGAACCAAAGAAAGGCATAAATTGTCACCGTCTTCTGCGGTGCTCGCACGTTTTCTGCGTTGCCTGTCTGCAGGACTTCTACAACGCCTGCATCACTGAAGGCGATATTGAAAGTGTGAAGTGTCTAGCTCCTAACTGTGGCAAAGAACCAGCTCTTACAGCCTCCACAGGCGACATACCAAAGAAGCGAAAGAAAATTGACCGAACGCTCAGCCCCAGCGAGTTGCTACAGATTCCTCTGGAGCAGGAGACCGTGCAGCGCTTCGTATCTCTCAAGCGCAAGAAAAGGCTTGAAGCGGACAAGTCGACAGTATACTGTCCTCGTGAGTGGTGCCAAGGTGCCGCTCGCTCAAAAAAGCACCCCAAACCCATGGACCCGATGTCTGACGACCTCGACGTGTCTGACGATGACGAGGAGGCGACCCGTGTCTTTGATCCCCTCGGTGACGAGGCTCAGTTGCCCCCCATGGCTGAACGGGTGGCGATCTGCGAGGATTGCAACTACGCATTCTGTTGCGTTTGCAAGAAAGGCTGGCATGGGGAACTGGTCCGTTGCTTCCCTCGGCGTGCAGCCGAGCTGACCGCCGAAGAAAAGGCGACCGAAGACTATCTGCGGCGGTATACATCCGCTTGTCCGACGTGCAATGCTCCCTGCCAGAAGAAGATGGGATGCAACCATATGATATGCTTCAAATGCGACACACACTTCTGCTACCTCTGCTCTTGTTGGCTGTTCGAGGAAAACCCTTACCGGCATTTCAACGATCCGGAGAGTCAGTGCTACCAAAGGCTTTGGGATCTGGAAGGCGGTGACGGCATTGACCCTGACGGGGCTGAAGCCTTGCATCAAGTCCCCGCGCAGCTCATAGAGATTGACGACGATAGTGACGACGAGGATCTGGTTGCCATGGAACTGGGTCAACATCCGCCTCCCCCAGCTCCGGTGCCCCCAAGAGTCAACCCTGGTCATGGCGCCGGGGCTCATGGCGAACGCGGCAATGAAGATGCTGCAGCTCGGGCTGCAGCGGCCGAGAGACAAGCACAGGCACGAGCCATGGCCGAAGTCCGGCGTCGTCCGGAGGCCGAAGTGGCCAGAGAAGGTCAACCGCAACGACATGCGCGGCCTGGCCTGCAACGATTTCTAGAACTGGTTCAGAATGACCGGGAAGACGAATGGGACAGTGATGAACTCGATGATGATTTCTAGGTACTTTTTATTCTCTCCATCTTGCCCCTTTTCCATCATACGTCACGTCATGCTATACACGTACGCGTTATGGGCTCATAGGACATCTCATGCCTCTCTTTGGTTTTGCACGGTGATGTTCATTACTAGAGAACAGGCGCACGGTGTCCTTCCATGATTCTGATGACCTGCATCCATATTGTGCTTGCACAGCGATTTTCAAAATCAATTACTCAGTCAACTTATCTTTTCAAGGTGTCTTCCATCCAGATAGTACAGACCGCCGGGAGTCCTGTCTTTCATGTTCTGGTGCACACGGCCACGTGCAATAGGCTTTTTACTCGGCACCAGGGGGCAGTGCAATTCTTTACTCGGGGTAGTCTTGCCTCACCCCTAATAGATTGGAGAACAATAACAGTAAGAACAAATGGTATCTGGCGCCAATGTAGTCAGAACCGGCGGCGGTACCTATCGTTGCAGCCACTTTCAAAGGAGGTTGGTATGAATTCGGGGTCGGACTCAGACCGCGACACAACAGAGAAGGTTGTGGTCCAATATATAAAGCAACCCGCCTGGTAGTAGACTACCTACTCTCTTTCTCCCATCAGCTTAGGAACCCTTTTTGCTTTTTGAGCTGCCATTTCCTCAACCATCGTTCTGCAACCATGTCACCTGCATCTGACACAAGGATTTCCCAGCCCCGCCCCGTGGCAGATGGCACGGAGTTGATGGCATACTTACCCCCCTCGGACTTGTTTGCAGGGGTTCTGCCTCGTGCGTCGCCAGGAGACATGGATACGGTGTGGCAAAGGCTCGTTGACAATCAGGTTAACACAACGGTGTCTCCTGCTGGCTCAAGAAGAATCCCCCATACTTCGTCCGATTGAGAATGGCAAGCAGCTGGTGGTCCATGGCCGACCATTTCTGGTCTTGCCTGGAGAGCTTCAACCGTCTTCTTCCTTCACCTCGCCTGAGTACACATACACGGTGTGGCAGAAGCTCGTCGACACTCATGTCAACACGGTGCTAGGACGTGTGGCCTGGGAGGAAATCGAGCCATTTGAGGGCCATTTCCTTTTCGACAAACTTGACGAGGTCATCTTGGGGGCTCGCAAGCATGGTTTACATCTTGTACTGCTCTGGTGTGGCTCATTCCACGATGGTAAGTGCCCCCCCTTCCCCTACCCTCCTCTCCGTGACATATACTTTCCACATTCTTGTTTTTCTTTTGCAAGTATCTGATACGGGCTGTGGAAAGGTATCTCAACATGTGCGCCACCATGGGTGAAGGCAGACATCAAGCGATTTCCACGAGCTCATTGGCGCAGGCGCGGGGGTGTTCTGGACGTATCGGAAACGCTGTCACTCTTTCAAGATGAGGCACGTGCTTGCGATAGGCGAGCCTTTGCTCGTCTCATGCGCCACTTGAAGGAAATTGACAGCGAGCATTTCAGCATTTTGATGGTTCAGGTAGCGAACGCCACCGCCTCCGCTGCAGCTGCATTGCTTGCTGGGGATTCCCGCGACACCTGTCCCGCCGCCGAGGAACGCTTCGCGCAACCCGATCCATCGGAGTTGGTGTCGTTTCTGACGAAGGACTGGGACCATCTTCAAGCTGGATTGCAGCGCACGCTCGGCCATTTCAAGTCTCAGTCCCAACCATCATCTTCCCTTATCCCTCGAGAATCGTGGGCGGAGGTTTTTGGACGAGGCCCGCACACGGACGAGCTGTTTATGGCCTACCACTCCGCTCTGTACGTCCACGAGATTGCCACCGCAGGAAAGGAGGAGTACCCTCTTCCATTGTACAATCAGCTCGGGGAGGAAGATGAAGTTGGAAATGATGAGAAGGACGACATTTCTGCCACTGTAACCGGGGAAAACTACCACTACCGGTCCTCTGGTGACCTCCTCGACATCTGGCAGCGGTTTGCACCTTCCTTGGACTTTGTGGCTCCCAGCCGCTGTCTTCTGGGAAAGTCCTATGCGCGCGTCTGGGTCCAGTACCGACACCACGCCCAGCCATTGTTCCTCTCCGAGCCCCGTCGCGACGAGAACAGTGCCGGCCGAATATGGACGGCCTATGGATTCTACCAAGCTCTGGGGGTCTCTCCGTTGGGGATTGATACGCTGGAGCCGGCCACCAGCCCCTTCACCAAGCATTACCGTCTCCTGTCATCCATCTCACAGACGGTCCTTCTGGCCCAACAGCTGCCCGGTTCATCGGTCGGGTTTCACTTTGACGACGACGACCCGATGACCGGTGAAAGGAAGAAGAACGATCCCGTCAATGAGCCAATTGTGCGAGAGTATGGAGACTTCGAGATCCAGATTGAGCGCTGCCCATCTACTGCTGACACTGCTGCGGAGAAGGGCCGCCCCCTCCTCCCATGCTCGGGCATGGTCATCCATCGCGGTGGCGGCAACTTCCTTCTCATTGGCTGGGGATTCCGAGTGCATGCGAAGGCCACGGGGGGCTCGAAGTCCACAGCTCCCCCCAATTAAGGCTCTTGCGCAGGATCGACCACAGCGTCTTCATGTTGAAGTACCTTAAACCGTCGAAATGCCAAGGGGGATGCTCTGCTAGCGTTGATATACCCGCGGGGGTGAAGATTGCCGAGGTTGAATTCCTACTGTTTTGATTCGCACTCATAGGAAAGTTGGGGATAGTTGGGGATAGTTAGGACAAAATGGAATCAAATCAGTATCGCCTCAATGCTTTGTCAGGTGTGAAAGGAGATGTGCTTGTGCTATGTATACGTGAGTATAAACTATCTAGAACTATTGCAGGCACTGGCCAGGCCTCCCAGTAATGTGTTCCAGTCGCAAATATATCCAGTCTTTAGGAATTCTTTCGCGGAATGCCTGCTCCAACAAGCGCACCATCGTGCACAGCTTTTGATCATTACCGCCAGCCAATCTCACCAGGTCATACTCTATCCTAACTCGTTCGGCTGGCGTGAAATCCGTGGTGTAAGGAAGCCGAGAGTAACATGATGTGGTAAGCCGGTGTCGAGTATACCACAGCTGGTCCAAAAAGTTCGCATCATGCAGGGTGAAACCAGGCTGCGACTCCAAGGCTTCTTGAAACGCCGCCTCACCGCGGCTGGTGATGCAGATCTTGACATGCCCTGGCCTGGCTCGCACCCAGTCTTTCAGCGCGGTCAACATCTGCCCGTGTTCCCCTTCATCGAATCGGTTTATCCCGTCGAGCAGAAGAAAGATCTTGCGGTCTGCCCATATCTTGTTGGATGCACTCAGGCGATTCCACGCCACAAACAACTCACTATCTTCCAGACTAAACAGAGGCCATGTGGGCAGAGGAAGTGCTTTCGGTGTTGCCCTATGCTCGATCTCTTCTTCCCCTTTCGCCTCATCGTCGTCGTCCTTTCCCTGCTGCGGCCGCCTCTTATTCTTCTTCTTCTTCCAACAGCGTCTAGGAGTGGCTGCACGAGCGAGCTTCTTCAAAACCTTCGACCTCGAGGGGCGTCTTGGCTTCGTTTCAGGCTCCTCGTCCTCCTCATACTCATACCTGAGCGGAAACAGCAGCGGGGCCAGCTGCTCATCGGCTTGGATCAACGCCCAAAGAATCCCGCGCATCATAGTCTTGAGTCCGTCGGGGCCAAACTCCTCGCTGTAATCATAAAAGGAAGCGCACCCCATGACCAGCTTCTTCTCCTTCTTCTTCTTCTTCTTCGCCGGGGAGGAGCACCACTCTAACTGCAGTCGCTGGCGGATCTCGTCGGACGGCTTTTGAAAGAAGATCTCGCGGATCAGTTGGGACTTACCGGACTTGGGCCGACCCGAGATATGGAAGAAGGCATTCTCGGTCTTCTGATCCGTCGCCGGCGACGAGGTCAGCCAGTGGTCAAAGGCCTGTCGGCTGTCCCACATGATGCGGCGCTTGATCCGTGCATTACGACCGTCGTCGTCGTCGTCGCCGTCGCCGTCGTCGCCACCGACCACTTCCGCGATCCGCTCCGCATACGCCTGATCTAACAGCCAGCACTCGCCTTGCAGTGTCCTGGTCCCAGCCGGTGGGATGACCCCGAAGGCGTAGCCGCCAGTGAAATCGGTACTCTCCTGCGGTCCGGGATACCTGGGCCGGAGCTTCATGCCTTGCAGTGCGCGCAGAAGTGCAGTGAGAGCGACTCCCCACTTGTGCTTCTGGAGGAGGTCTTGAGCTAGACGAGGATTCAAGCCAGCATGGAAACCAGCCAATTCGCCCTTGGCTGCACTCCTAGTAGGAGACATTATCCATATAAGCCCTTTCGGAAAGATATGGTCCAAGACTGGGCTGTTGGATCTCTCTCGTTTTCTTTTCTTTCTGTGCTGTCTCTGTGTCTATGTTGTTGCTCCGCTTTCTTGTTGATTACTCGTAGAAATGGAATCCGAGATGCAACCCAATTTGAATGGCAAAGATCTGGCCATATTTATAGGCGATGAAAGTCCATGGAGGGGGCCGGCAGCCAGTCCACAGGCAGCTCATCTCATAATGAGCTGTGCTTCCTTTGTGACCTTTATTGTTTATTGAGTAAACGCTGGGCTTTAGGCGGCCACGGATCAATTTCCGGGGTTTATGCTTCGCCAAAGGCTGTCGTGTAGACAAGGTAGAATTACTTTTGTTCATAGGACTATATACAGGACTGGTAGAAGCCCAGAGAAATTGACAAAGCATGGATTTCAATGGAGCATAAAGGCTGTAGGGGTGCATATAAAGAAACCATCGGATACAAGGCCTTGTTCGCGATGAAGAATGATGAGCGTGGCACGTGATACACACTACTCAAGTTCATCTGACATGGTTAAGAGTCGGCCAACTACCGAACAACCACTTGATTATCAGGCAGTCGGATTTTTACTTTCAGGGGCATGAAGCGCTGTACGTGGTCTGACACATGGCTTGGAAAACCCATGCAGCCTTCCGTACCTATCATGTATCCTATATCATCGCTGCGTCGCCACACCCTCACCCCTTGGAGAAGTAAAGCCCCAGAGAGCTGGAGTTACCAACCTACTTTTATTGCTAAAGAGGGGAAACAAGGGGAGGTGCATCTCATAACAACTGCCAGGCTGAATTCTTTCAGCCCACAGCCCCCTACGATGTGCGGCCATCACCAAGACATGCTTTCTTTCCCCCCCCCCCCCCCCCCCCCCCCCCCAGCTCTTATACGAGGTATGTCTCTCATTTTCCAAATTCTGACCAATTCTATAGATTTTGAAAGTCTCACTTTTGCTTGAGACGCACACACACGCGCACACACACACACACGAAGAGAGCTGGAGGGTGATTCCCTTTCTGCAGTCGTAGAGAAATTTTATTATCTACCCCCCTCCCCCTCCGTCTCTGACCGCACAACATGATATCAATAATTTCACTCTGCTCCTACATCTGCCTCACTCATCAGGTTAACTTCTTTGTCGTTGACAGCACTTGACGCTTGTCGGCTCCGCTACAATGGAGGGCCTATCCATCGCCAACTTAGCCGACATCACCCTCAGTTTCTTGCTCTTCCTAATCAAGTTGATCAAGCTAGCCCTGGAGATCTACGAGACCGGAAAGATAGCTGACAACGAGAGACTTCAGAAGGAGATCTACGTCCTGACGGGAATGGTTAAGTGTCTGCAGGAGTGAGCAGTGACCGGCGATAACCCGCTCACGGATGAAGAACGGATCCTGCACGTCCTCTGCAACGAGTGCAATGCCGCTTCGAACCAACTCCAATCCATGCTAGATAAGCTACAAAACGCAGGAGGCAAAGGCAAGATGTTTTGCAAGAACGAGTGGAAGAGCCGCGCCAAAAAGAAGCTCGAAGTTAGGCTCAGCCAGTGCGGAGACGAGCTTACATCGTTTGTCACTACAACAAAGAGGTAAGAGGAAAGAACGAAACCCCCGGGGAGCAGCTTCTGGTAGTACTGTACACTTTGAATAATGCTAAGTTGCCCCTCTTTGCGACTTTCTAGCGCGAAAATCCAACAAAGGCTAGATGATATCAAGCGGAGCGACAGGATTTATGCGGCCAGACTAGAGTCTCTCACCACGGAGGTTTCCACGCTCGGCTCCGAAATGGCTCGCCACATCCACGACCTGGGTCTCCTACTTGGGATAGGCAATCGGATCCGGCAGGGGGTGCAAGCCATCGGGACGCGGATGGTCCAAGATGGTGCCCAGGTGCGGGCCCTCTCGATTCTGAATCGATTGGCCTTCGACGGCATGCATACCCGCTATGAAAGCCTGGCAGACGCTGAAGCGAACAGCTTCCGGTGGCTCATCGATGCCGATGTGCCCCTGGACGATAGCCCCCTCCAGTATCAAGCGCGCGAGGCCTTTCTGACCTGGCTCAGGGAGGGTCAGGGGATCTTCCATATGACCGGGAAGCCCGGCGCTGGGAAACCAACTCTCATGAAGTTTTATCGGACAACATGCACGGGCGTCTGCAGGCCTGGTCCAGCCCGAAGACGATGCTCCTGGGGAAATTCTTCATCTTCAAGCCCAACGCGCAGTCTGAGGGGGCCATGCGCGACTTCTGTAGAGGGCTGTTGCATTCGCTTCTCGGTCAGGCCCATGAGCTGATACCAATCATCTTTCCGCAGGAGTGGGAGGGCGATCTCCGAACTGAAGATGAAAAACTCAATCCCTCCCAGGTGCAATGCGCTCTCACTACGCTGCGTACCCTTGACGATATCTACATCAATCACCGCCTGGTCATCTTCGTTGACGGTATTGATGAGTTCATGGGTTACCAGAAAGATCTGTGCCTGCTCCTGAAGGAGTGGGCGCAGCTCAGGCCTCACGGCGTGAAGATCTGCGTCTCGAGCCGGGAGGACCAGGATATCCACAGAACGCTGGAACCATCCGCCACGTTGCGTCTCCAGGATGTGACTTTCCCCGATATTCTCGCCGTGGTGCATGATCGACTAACGAAAATCACCAACTACGACACTATCGACACCCCGCGATGGCGGGCCTATCTGGAATGGTACATTGCGGAGCGTTCGGAGGGTGTCTTGTTGTGGGCCGCCTTGGTTCCCCGGAGACTTGCAGACAAAGTGAAAGATGGGTATAACGCACGCGACCTGGTCAATGCGGTCGACTCCCTGCCTCAGAGCCTGGATGACCTCTTCCAGAATATCCTGGCGTCGATGCGCGACATGCGGACGACCTGGGCATTTGCCCTGCTCCAGATGGTGCTTCTCTGCCGTCGACCATGGCCCTTGTCTCGCTTCTCGTTTCTTTCTGAATATCTTCAGGACCCATATTTTACTCGCAATTGCACTTTGTCCCCCGCGGGAAACAGCCCGGATGATCCCCGGGCACGATTGATCAAGGCCAAGGACATGATTAACCGCCATTGCCATGGCCTGCTCGAGATCCACGCGAAACAAATAGACAGAACCATCGTGGTCGTGTTTACCCACGGTCCGCCTTCGATTACCTCTCCCAGAACGCGGATCTCGTTGCTGGATTTGCCGCCTTCCCCAAGGGGCACGATGCGTTCGATGCCTTGTGTCAGACGATGCTGGCTGATCTCTGTGCCACGTTGACACCCTCCTGCCAGGAAGATCTCCCGCGGGTGGATCTGCATATTTCTTGTCCGTGGGGGTCTACTGCGATGGACTCGAGCATGACGCAGTCTGCCCGCGACTTCTACATGATTTTCAATGACACCGTAGTTCTGTTGGACACGTTTGTGGCGCAGCAGATCCCTCCGCAGCGGCCGGAACGACTCTTTGGGTTTCTGGCCTCCGTGGCTCGCATCATCGGCGCCGCCCTGCCCGAGGACTACGACCTCAATCTGTGGCTGGACTGTCGGCTGGTCGGCAAACCGCGGGCTCCCCCGCTGCTGCTCCGCAACGAGAACACCACTGACTGGACTCCAGACCCTGGTCTTCGCAGACCGATCCGTTTGATGTTTCCTTCCGTATTTCCCGTCCTGGCGGCGTACAGCGGGATCCCTTGGCGCGGCAGCGATCTTCTTCCTCTTCTCCCAGCCGGAGAAGGCTCCGCGAGCTGGCTGACGCGAAGCGTGCCCTTCAGCGCGCTCACCCTCAACGCCATTGGGTCGGCCCAAAGACAACTCCCCCGCGCGGCCGCGGGATTCATCGAGCTCCTGGGCCTGTACTGGCGACATGGTTTGTCGCTGGACCAGCCAAGCGGCGAAGAGGTGATTGCGGGGACGGCCCGGGACCTGACGCACTGGGAGTTCTTCCTCGTCGAGGCCCTCGGCATGGGCACCGCGTGGCATGAGAAGCAGCGGCTGCTGCCGCTCTTTGCCCTCTTCCTGTGGCATGGTGGGGACCCACGGGTGGAGTTGGAGGTCCAGCTCGACGACCAGGCCTACAAGTGGGCCAGTGCGCCGCACGGCCCGCCGGTTGTTTTGGACCTCGTCCCATCCACAGGTGGCTATCACGACCCTCGCGTTTCTGTTGAGAATATTCTCACCGGTAGTCTTTCGGGTGATTGCCCCAGTGGTCTCTCTGATGGTTCCCCGGATGGTCCCTCTAATGGTGGGTTCGGTGGTCTCATCGGTGCCCCCTCCGAGGATTCCTCAAATAGTCACCCCGGTGTTCCTCCGGATGGTCCCTTGGGTGGTCTGTTTGGTGGCCCCCCTGCTCCAATATTCCGTTCGGTAGTCTCCCCAACGGTTGTCCTAATTGTCTGTTTGGTGGTCCCCCCGATGGTCCCTCTGGTGGTCTGTTTGGTGATCTCACCAGTGGTTCCCCCGATAGTTCCTCTAATGGTCTGTTTGGTGTTCCCCCCGATGGTCCCACTAGTGTTCTATCTGGTAGTCCCACCAGTGGTCCCCCGGCGGCTCCCCCGGATGCTCCTTTTGGTGCATGGCCCGCGGAAGTTGGCAGGATCTTCTTAAGTTCCCTGACATTGACAGTGGGAATGGGCAAGAAGAAGATCGAACTGGTGTACGAAGTGGATCATCTTTCCGGGGCCCGCGCAATGAAGCCGCTTCGAGATCGGATGGGAAATGCGTTTTCCCTTCGTGAGCTCATCACGGCTCTGTTCCCGGCCAAGGCGGCAGCCACCCTTCACAAGCTGGTCGATTCGCCTCTCGCCGATCTCTCGCCCGCAGACCGAGCGTCAAGGATGCATGAGTTGGAACCAGAGGTCCGCGCCTTGTTGTGTCTCGAGACCATTGAGGATGCGTTTGGCAGTTGATCAGAGTGAGTTTGTTTGGGATTTAGGACAAATGGCGGGAGAGCCTTGTTCCGGGCGAGGGAGTTTCATTTTTCTTTTTGTTCATATCTCCCCTTTCTACCCTTCTCTGTTCCTTCTTTCTTGTTTTTTCTTTCACCTCCTCTCATCAGTTCCAATCACTAGCATTTACAAATCCTCTATGAATGTACTGTACTGTACTATACGGCAATTATCTCTGCCCCAACCTCTAATCCAACCACGGTGGAACGGGCATTTACTTCTTCTTCCACAGCGTTGTAATAGGTTGTATTATTCTCTGCATGCTCTTTCTTCCTAAGTATCACCGCAGATTCCAAGCCAACCTGGCTCTGGGAAAGAAATAGCGACCGGCTTCGCGAATGACCTGTTCTCTCGGAAGGTGAATTATGTAGCCGGGGTAGTGTGCGGGAGTTTCTACTTACTGACGTCACAATACATCTGAATAGAGGGGGGGGGAATCTGTGCACTTGCCCGAGGAATGCATTGACGGGTAGATAGAGCTCGGGTATTTTTCTTTTGGGCCGAAAGTGATGCAAGATCCCAGCTAGTACTGAGTTTGCTTTTGCCTGGGCAGCAATTGGGGATAGGTAGGTAGGGGGCCCTGGCTGCCGCGGGCCTTTCTCGCATGCCTTGCCCATGGCAGCAACCGGAAGAGCTGAACGCTGGGAGGATCGAGATCCACCGGATCTCGGTTAGAGATTTTATTGTCTGATGCAGAGAAGCAGAGAAGCAGAACGGTAGTTAGGGGTTGCAGGGAGTGTATGGGTCATATTAATCTAGATACAGGGAGAGGGGAGATAGTGAATGGCTTGGTCGAACAGGGAAGTGCAAGTCAACAAACGAATCGCCGTCAGCCATAAGAGGCGCAAGCGGTCTAGCCCGTACTGACGTGCCCCTGTTCGTGTTGACTACCCTTCAGCGGACGATATGCGCCAGAGAGCCTTCTGACCTAACCACAGCACGTCAACAGCTCACAGGACGTAGTCCCACACTTGACCTGGCACAGCTGGGACCCATCGCCCCGATAGCCCGCCGTCCTCATCGGCGCGGCAGGCACGGGGTCCGCCGACCCCAGCTCGGGCTGCACGGTCACCGAGTGGACCCCATAGCTGTGGAAGCAATCGCTCATGGTCTTGGCGATCTGGACGAACTCGGACACGGTCTCTTTGGCGACCGCAACATGGACCGATGCCAAGGCCTTCTCTTGGTTCAGTCGCCAAACGTGCAGTTCGTGGACAGAGAGGACGCCCGGGATCTATGGTCTCCGCATCCGAACGGTCAGCCGTTGAGAGAGGCGGGGAAACAAGGTATTCTGAACGCTACGCACCGTCTCGAGATCATGTCTGATGTCGTCAAGGTTGATCCCGCTGGGAACACTTTCAAGGAGGATTTTGCCCGCGCTTCGCACTAATCAGGTTACAGCAGTTGGTGAGTTGAACTGAGACACCGGGTTTCTGGGGGGTTTAGGAGGGATACGGACCTAATGGGACGGAAGTTGTGAGAATGACGATGGCGATAGCCATGCTAACAGCTGGGTCTGCGTAGTAGCGATCCGGGTCCGTGGTAAGCCAGATTACCAATGCCGAGATGATGACCCCGACATTGTTGGCGGCGTCACCCAGCACATGGATCAGGACCCCGAGCATGCCAAGGTCGTAGCTCTTTTGGGATGGTTGGAGATTGTTGTGACGATGGTTGTCGTGTAGGGCGAAAACCTGGGCGGTCGAAGGTCAGCAATGTGTCCACAGAGTTAGTGGAATGGGCTGTATCCTGACCTGCTCTGTGCCACTTTCGGCATTCGTTCGGAGTTCCGTTTCTCCGAGGACTTCGCCGTGTGAATGATCGTGCTCTGGGAGACAGCAAGGATGGACATGAGTCGAGGAGCGAGCAACACAAGTAGAAGAGCCAACACCAACCGTGAAGGAATGACGCACTAATGAGATTGAGACCAAGCCCCACGCAGCCGATGATAAGCACCAGCTTGGGCTGTTCCACGACTGCAGTCTGTGTCAGTAGGGTTGTGGAATGTCAGTATAGGGAGATGTGCACTCACCTTGAATGGAGACAAAGCGTTCGATGGACTGGAGGAAGATACTGATCCCGAGTGCGAGAAGGAAGACCCCGTTGAAGAACGCACCGAGGAGCCGAGACCGCTGCCAGCCAAAAGATAGGTCCTGAGGTGAATCTGTCTTGGCTGAGATCTGGTTTTTGATAGTACTGTTAGAGACGAAGAACTCCGAGTTTTGCGGGCGGTGCCTGTCACCTTCAGAGCAGTGAATGCAACAATGAATCCGATCAGATCATTCAACTAGAGGGTATATTAGCCTCCGAGCGTACCGCGAGGACGAGAGAGGGGGGGCAAGGGCTGGCACATAATGGAAGGCGTCTGCGACGAGGGCAAGAGACCGTGTGTAGAATCCAACTAGATGATCAATAGTCAGAATTCGGTCGCCAGTTGGGGGCTGTGCTGCATTTGCTACCAGAGATCTCTGCAATGAAGAAAGACAGGGAAATCAGTATCACCAGCTGCAAACGCTGGGACTGAGTCAAGTGTAATGCCATGGCTGAGTTCAAGTTTGGCCTATACTGGTCAAGTACCTAGTAGAGAGGGAGCGTGCTTGAGAAAGATAGAAGTCAGGCCGCACAATCCAACGTCTTTCTAGCTTGACTAGCGCGAACTTGCTCCTCGTGTTTGGAAGCTTCTGAGTGGCGAGAGCATAAATCCGGGGCTGTTGTGACTGCTGCTCAGTAATTGGCGGATTCGGGTGGAAACCTTCGCAAGTAGCGGTGCTGGCCCCTCTTCTACATCATTTACTTAGATATCACGACCACACAATTTACATAATCTGGTTGTAAAATCCCATGAGTTTGAGGGGAACTCGTCGCTCTTGTTCGTGCCATGAGAGATAGTAGGAAATAATGAGTTTTTCACTCGGACAAGCCCCGGATATCTTCGTGCTTGCGTAGTTTATTGTTTTGGTTTTTCATGTCTTTATTATTTGTGTTCGGAATAGTCTTCATAACAAAGAAGGCCAAATTCTGCTTCAATGAAGTCTCTGGCATGGAATGGCAAAAGGTAAGAATGCAGTATGGAGTGTTTTGTTCCTAGCACTTGAGTTTGTAGTATCACAAGCAATAATGCTCCTCATCGGACTACTGAAGGCCTACTTTATCCAAGCACTTGAAACTACACAGATAATTGAAACCAACTAGGTCGCATGTCAGCAGTCTACAAGTGATGTGAAGGCGAGTGCTGGCAATCACTATTCCAGAATGAATAACTTCCCTTCCAAACGCCGTGATGAGTGCGGCTTATATAAGCCTATTATTTGGTTAGCGAAACCTGGATGAAGGGCAAACAATTCTCCGGAACGCTAAGCCAAGACTTAACATTTTGGCAGCAGAGCAGGTGTGATACTACTAGTATGTAGTACCACCATTTGCACGATGGGACGGTATGCAATATGTATACAAGCATAGATAGAGGTTCAGATAGAGTTGAATAAGCATCCTCCACGACACTTTAAGCCTCGTAGGGCTGCGAAGCCGATAACATACGTCCATTGGTCGAAGATTGAGCAGGTTTACCCACAAGATCCTCGCCGGCTGGGTCTCACCCCCAAGGTCCTCAAAGATCGCAAAGTCACCGCCTTTGCTGCCATTGCTTTTTGATATGCACGATCATACACGCTCCACCTCCGCACAGAGCTGTAATTGATATAAAGCAATTTCAATCTATTGCACTTCAACTTCTTCTCGCATTATGTCAAAGGATAGTTTTTCCTGGGTGACTGACTGTCTTTACTGCCAGGCCCTGACTATCGGGTACTTAGCTCCTCGGTCTAGGCATGTAGGTTATAAACCTATTATGTAGTGGAAGTTATATTATCTGCCTACTGGATAAGTACTTGAATCAAGGAAATTTCTCTCCTACTTCAGAGTGGTCGTGATTATCTCCCAAGCCACCAACACGCAGTTAGGGCAAATAGTTGGAGCCACACTAACAGGGCAGGTAGCCCTTGGAACATCCAGCGCTCAACACAGCTGTTCATTTGTTTCCAGATAGCCAAAGGTTTTGTTGATAATAGGGTGCAGTACTTACTTACAGCGCAATAATAATATGTCCAGTACTTCCAGCCTTGAATAATTCAGATTACCAATTCGACAGACGGGTCACTAGGGATCTTTCAGTGGGTGCTGTATAAAGTTTATCGGGTTGCCTACATTAGCATGAGGTGGGAAATAAGTTTCAGAAGCTTTATAACGTGGTCTTTAACGTGTAGTTCTTATCATCAACAGAAAGGTCTTTCAAGCAAAATAACTTAAAAGGATGTTACTAATCACCATGTGAGAAATGCCCGCCGGCTGGAGATGAGCGTGCACAATAGAAGTTCTGATAGTTTCAACTGCGTTTTGGATTGCGAGATAGAACTATAAATCTTATTTGTCAGTCAACAAAGCTTCAATCTCCCAGGATGCATTGCCAAGTAACATCTAGAGAGTTATAATGGGAGACCTTTTCTCGAAGGATGGCGATGTACCATACACTATCTAGCATGATTTCGGGATCTTGGGGATTTCATTTGACTACTTAGAAGCCTACTCTTTTTCTTAAGATGAGATCACGTCTTGTGCACATCTCTTCCTCCAACGATGTCCACCTCCATCTCTTCTTTTATCATCTTCACACACCCCCTTCTTTCCTCCTTCTTTCACCTTCATCAGGCATCAGCCCGGCCGTCATCCTCGACTCGACCTGCTATCCCCTCAGCTATCCTCTCAACGGGTACTTGTCAAGTCAGCCAGGGCCCAGCAATATCATCACCATAAGAAACAACCGCCTGACGAGGTAAGACCCCACCATATCTGTAAAGTAACAAAGCCTGACGACCCCCATCTCCTCCAGCCCACAGAACCGACCATTCAACCGTCCCACCCTTCACGCAACAATCCATCCATCCGAAGGCAGCCAGCCCAGCCCCAACCCTTCCAAACCCCCATTCCCCATACCCAACCCATACCCAACCCATACCCAACCCATACCACCGCAAAAATGCAGCGGCAGCGCACCAACATCCGCGCCCTGCAGCGCACCCTCACGCAGCAGAGCCGGCGCATGCAAGCCCTCGAACAAGCCCTCGACCACCTCGCCCAAGCCACCGACCACGCGCTCACCACCCTCGCCCAGCACGCCAACCACCTCGAGACCCTAGCGGACCCGCTCCAGCCACTCCTAACCCGGATCCAGGTCCTGGACGGGCTCGCCGACGACGCCCGAGGCCGTGACGCCGCGCCAGCAGCAGGCTCCGGAGGCAGCATCGAGCTCGACCTGTGGCTGATCGCCGCCCGCCAGATCGAGGACCCGCCGCGCGCCCGCCGCTGGCGTCGCAGGTTCCACCACCTCTACGGCTACCGGTATCAGAATGTGTGGAGGCGACTGCCGCTGGACGCGCGCGTGGCGGAGATTTTCGATGTCCACGCCGACTTGATGGTGATGCCGGGGTTGCCGGCGCGGGGGCGGATGGCGTTGCTGGATCGGTGTAGGGCGTTTTTGGGGGGGTGGGTGTATCCCGAGCTAGGGCCGGGGGAGGAGTGGATGATGGAGGAGGCGGGGGAGGAGAGGAGGGAGGCGTATGAGGGGATTGTGCAGCGGTTTGGGGAGCTTAGGGAGACCGGCAGTGGCTGACTGGCGGGGGGTTCTTGGTGACTTTGGTTGGTTCGGTTCGTGGGAGCTTGGTTTGTCGCCGATTGCTGGTGTGTACAGCTCAGTGCTGGGGAGATGCACTTGCTCGGGAGGGAGGGGCTTGTGGTCTTTGTTGTTTGTGGCAGGCTTTCTGTTTTCAGTTAGGTTCACTGCAGTATGTTAGTTGGGTCAAATTGGTTAACGGAGAGTATCTTCACGGAGATCATACTAGTTGCTTCATCATGTCTGTGTTATGCTCCCCTTTCTGACTTCCAAATGAGCTTCCAGCTCCATCTACACCATCTAGTTCCCACCCCCCTTTCCACAGGTCTCCTCGTGAGATCGGTGAGAGAACCCCTTACTCAAGGCCTCGCCTGGTTGAGTTGGTAGTCCAAGCTTAAAAGAGTCCCGGTGTAAAATCATTTCATTCAGTTTCCTCATTCTTCACATATTCAGACAGGTTGGAATAATGTACTGCAGAAAACTAAACCTACACAAACAATACCTCGTCCACTTCATCCTCCCCCGTCCCACTACTTTCTCCCGCCGTGCTCCAGCTGTACCAGAACTCGTAGCTCATCAGCGTGTGGTCGGCGTACATGAGCATTAACCGGTACCGTCGAGAGGGGTTCCATCCTCGCCAGCTTTCTTCGGGGTAGTAGGCGCGAGTAGCAAGGGCGTGGCATTCAGGAAGGGTAAAGGGGGTGCTGGACGATGATCTGGATGGTCGTTGAGTAGTCGTGGAGGAGGTAGGTGAGATTGAGGCCTGGGGTATTATGGAAGTAGAGTTTGACGTGGGATCTTCAGACGCAGTGGGGGCGGACGCGGTAGAATGATGTGAATCGTGCCCGTGAACAGCAGACCATTTTCTCCTCAGTTGGTGATGGTGAGAAGGTCTCGGGCGGAGTGTGGAATTGCGTCTGGGAGGCTGCGATGTGCTACTCGCTCGTCTCTCCGTGACCAAAGCAGGATCCGGCTGCTCATGAGGGCTCATGCTGAGGTTTGAATGCTTATATCGAAACGTGAGGTCGTTGTTCCTCACGTCACGTGGAATATAAGGCACGTCCGGAGGCATCTCGAATCCCTGCACCGGACCAACGGTCATGCCCAAGAGGGGTATCAGAGGACGGTCGCCATACTTCTCTTGATGCTCAAAGGGGACAATCCAATCGACGCGGAAGGATTGTCCCGTCGCCTCGGACTCGGTGAGGGCTATGATGGCCGCACGCCCCTTTTGAGACGCCGCGACGACGATTCCGTGCTCGGGAATATACTTGACCATGTTGAAGCGATCGCAGGACCGGATGGAGACAATGGGATGTGTGAAGGGTTGCCGTAGAGGTTCGCCGCACACGACCTTCGCGTGAGTGGCGAAGGGGTGGGGGATTAGGCGAATGTCGGTTTGGGAAAAGTGGAGGATTGGGAAATTGGAGCTCATGGGCGCTACGCAAGTGTTAGCGACTGTATCTTGGTTGGGGACTAGAGCAGGTTCAGACGTACGGTCAAAGACTTGGTATCGGGCTGCCATCGCAGACGCTTCGTCTGACTGGGCATCATCCAGACCAGTGTAATACCGCTCGCCGTGCCAGTCATCTTCGGATTCGGAGTAGTCTTCCATGTCATCGTCACTATACTCGGCTCCGGGAGCATCACCGCCAAGTGCTTCGAGAAGCGCGAATTGGAGAAATTCCGGCGTTGTCAACGGGGCCTGACCGGGAGGGAAAGGCGTGCCGTCATTCTGTTGATCTTGGGTGTCAAGGGGTCCCGTACTCATCTCCGTGTCAGATAAGCTGTCCTGGCTCAGATTGTCCTCAAAGACAGAGCCGTCTACAGCGCGGTAGCTGGACGCATCAGCCGAGTCTAAAGGTCGAATAGCTGCAGACGGAACGTTCAGTCGTCGGAGCTCTGCAATCGAGTCATCGCTTTGACTCCAACGCGGGGTCCCTTGTGAGCTATCTGTGATGAGATTGTGATAGGCTTTATGAGATCTGTTGATACGACAGTCTGGTCCGAAGATATCGGGCAGCAGCGGCTGTTCCGGTTCAATCTTGGGCGCAGGCGGAAAATAATTGTATATCTGAGAAGCCTTTGGGATTTTGCTATTCATTCGTGTCAGGTCGTATACTGCTTGGCCATTTTTGACGCGCCGTTGAGGGGGACCGCCGCATGCTTCTTCCGGAGACTTCAGCAAATGGAAGCTCCGAGGGTCCAAAGCGAGTACCGCCCAACCACGCTCTCTGTTACACCCATTAGTCAGAGAGAGCCCTATTGCAGCATGTAGATCATTTACCTACTCTAGGTGCAATGATTCCGGAAACGACTTGAACGAGACGTCGTTGAAGTGGTAGACGTTGAAGGGACCGAGACTTTCCCAGATTTTCCATACGAGAAGCTTGTTGTCGATATCCGTGCTGACCATCCACATCCCATTGGGGTCGAGATCACAGTTCAAGAAGCCAACCGAAGGGATATTGGCAAAATGGCCTGTGTATGTCAACCGGATATTCCGCGTTCGATGTTTGTGCGGCATCAACTGCCGCAGCTGGGCCAACTGCTCCCCGCTTCTGATTTGCAGCCAGGTTTGACCGTAGTCGGCAAGATCATCCTCTTCCTCCGGATCGCACTCAGACTCGCTACTCTTGTCCGAGGTAGAATCGACCAGAGCGAAGGCAAAAACCGTGACCTGGCCTGTATTCGCGGTCACGGCGATGAGACGGGCGAACTTATGAATGGCCAAGCCCCAGGCGCTGGCTTCAACATATTCGGCGAAGAACGGGTCGACCTGTGAACCATCGAGGGGCCGACTCTCGTTGCCCTCCTCCGCTCGCTTCAGCGCTGAGTACACAGCCTCAACCCGATAACCGCAGACGTTGCCCGAGTCAGTGACAAGTAACAACACCTCCTCACGGCCCAAGTCATCGACGAGGATGTTGTTGATGGCATGAGGAGATGACGGTAGGATATAGCCCTCAGCATCGGGCTCTCGCATGACTGGGGTGATGATCATCTCAGGCTTGTTACCGAGCGTCTGATTAGACCCTGCGGGTTGCCAGACGTAGATTTGATGGTTGTAGGCGACAAAAAGCAGATTGCGACGCTGCGACAGCGCAATCTTTCCACGAGTGTTAGTGACCCAATTAGACGACGGAATAAGATCGATGGTTTACCAGATTGTTTCTCCATGTCGCTGTCTGTGGGGGATAGATATCATTCGCACTGCAAACCAGTTCAGTCTCGGCTCAGTCATACCATGATGGTGGGATCTGAAAATCAGATACATACGAAGAATACTAGAAAGTAGGTCAGCAGTCAGATCGACAACAACTGAACGAAAAAAAAAAAAAAAAAAAAAAAAAAAACACAGCGACGCTAGCTAGGAGACTAGGAATGACCACATACTCTATCTGTTCCTTTCTCAACATTCAAGGGTCTAAGCTGCAGACCTTCGCGTGAACGGGCCTTGAGTGGTTTGTTGCCGACATCGCTGCTGAACGCCATTCTGGTGAGAAAACACACAGATTGTGGTGACACTTGAGACCGCCGAAAGCAGACACTCAGTAAGCGTCAAAGCGAGTCTCCGGGTGTGCCACCATTCGCGTGGCAGATCGAGAGCGGCTGAAGGGATCGGGGCAAGATGATTGTGATAAGTGCGGACAGAAACTGTCAATACCAGCAAAAGAAGCCGAGGGGTATTTGGATTGAGTCTCCGGTGACATCACACGGAGGAGAGATACTTTGCGCTCTTGCGACTCCGTGTAATGAGGTTTGAGCATACTCGGGGGAGGAAGAGGGGGATCTGCAAGACACGACAGGAAGTAAAAGAACTTCTCTTTGAGCTGACTAGATAGATAACTTACATGCATCGCTTGAGCTAAAGTGGTTTTCGCATTTTGGCAGTTCTCATCCATGTTGCCAGTCCAATCCAATCCATTATGAGGTCAGCCAACCCAATCCGATGATTCGCCGCCTCGGGGCTGAGCGCGTGCACGGGCCACCCAGCGATCTCCCGCCGCTTTTCCCTGCCCGCAACTCATTCCCTCATACGTTACTGTACTGTACAGCTACCACTCTCTCATCAGGAGGCAAGAGTTCTCTACTGCAACCAAGATACCGCCAGAATGGATCTGGTCGCAGGTGTTCGCAAGGAAGGCAGCCGGTGAGTCCTCTTACACTTCCTACCCCCTTAATCCCTCTGCACCCGAACCTCGTGTCCGAACATGACCGCAGAACACAGCACTGACAGCGCCATCCTCCTAGCGGCGGCCGCGGCGACTTCAAATGGTCCGATGTCAAGGACTCCTCGCATCGCGAAAACTACCTGGGACATTCTCTCATGGCTCCTGTCGGTCGTTGGCAGCAGGGCAAGGATCTGACATGGTATGCTAAAGGCGACGCGGACGATGAGGATCAAGCAAGGAAGGACCGCGAGGAGAAACAACGGGTCAAAGAGGCTGAGGAAGAGGCGATGGCGCGAGCTTTGGGACTGCCTGTCCCCGCTAAGGCGTCGGAGAATGCCAACTTGACCCCACTCGGTGGCCCGTCCGAAACTGCGGATAAAGAAGGGGGTGACGAGGCTGGCAAGGGACCTGGCTACGGTTCATCTCGAGGGGATGCTGACCCGCGCCCCAGTCGGAGACGGAGAGGTGGACATAGCCGCAGTCCTGACAGAGAGCGGAGGCGGGATCGAGCATCGGAGAGGGAGAGGAATAGGGACAGAGACCGGGAGCGTAGGCACCGCAGACATCGTGATGAGGATGACCGTCATCCTCGCAGTCACCGACACAGGTCGCGATCCAGGTCGCGGGATCGCGATCCTAGAAGACGACGATCGCGCTCGCGAAGTAAAGAGAGGACCCGCGAAGATTACAGGAAACGTCGAGACGATCGTCATCGCGCAGACCCAAGAGACAGGGATTTCTCTGACCGTCGCCGCCATTGAGCATGCAGTCTACTCGCATACCAGGAGTCAGGAGTTTTTGAATAAGTAACACTGTACAGTCGTTTGGAAAGCTTGCTATCTTATTGTATATCACATCAAGATATCCTCATCGCTCTACGTCTACAATTCATCGTGGCCCTTTGCTCCGTTGGCGGGCAGATCGGGCATGGACATGATCTTCACAACCATGCTTGTCCAGCCGGTGAAGTGCTGTGTCCGCTGCCCTTGTCCAGTCTCGGGGTTGTACTGCTCCCAAGCAAAGCCAGTTGCCTTCCACTGTCTAAAGACATTCTCAACCAAGTTCTTCCGCAGATTGGAATACAGCTCACGGGCTTGCTCGCTGTGGGGACCAGGTTTGATTGCAACATCCTGCGCGAAAACGATCAGCTTCCTGTGTCAGTTCGGTCGGGCGATATTGACTTACGTAGAGGTTCTTGACCACGAGGTAATTGATGTTGACCCAGATGGGACTTCTCCAATAATTCTCGTCAGTGCCATAGAACTCATCCTTCTTGCTCAAACTACGGATGCCATAGTCGCTCCAGAGTTCTTCCGGGTTCCCAATCAGATCCAAAACAGCCTTCAGGTGAGGGCTGTCAGTGCCCAGCATTCCAGTCAAGAAGGGGAAGATCGAGATGTAGCCCTTGTGGCACACATGAACGCTCTCCTCATATTCATCAATGGTGGCATCGCAGTAGGTCTGCGCGTCATCGTCCCAGTGCAGATCGTCGATGTTCCGCGTGATAGCGATCTCGTAGTTCTTGAACTGTTCGGCATCCTCTTCATTTCCAAGTGCCTCGGCGATACGACGAATGGCACGGGTCATCATACCCATCCAACTAATCAAATCGACATGCAGTTCGCCGGGGTGGGGAGGCTGAGGCCGAGGGTAGTCATCCAAGCCCGAGGTCAAAATGTGCTGAACAGACCTTCCTCGCCAGCGGTATGCTTCCTTGGTTGAAAATGCTTCCCGGTCATAGGACTTAATGTCTCCAAATTGAGTCTTCCTGTACCAGAAGTAGTGCTTCTTGAGCAGAGGGTAGATCGAGCGCATATAAGCGTCGCCCAACTCTGGAGTCTCAACGAAAGCCGAGTTGAGGCCCTCGGTGATCTCATAGTCAGACGGCCGGTTGACAGAAGCATTCTTCTTAGCATCGAGCTTATCGACAAAAGCCTCCAGAATGACGAAGAGAGTCGGAGGGTTGGCATAATGAGGATACTGGATTGTGAACTCGGGCGGAACTTTGCTGCGAGCTTCCGAGCCGAGAATCTGCTCCCGAGCAATCCAGCCATCCTCATCCATGAGGTTGAACCAACTCTTGATGATTTCGAGTCTACACGTCTGTTAGCATTGTCGGTCTGGAGTATGGAGTCGAGGCGATTGAGAGTCGTGAAAACCTACGCTAGATCCATGTCCCAATCAACAACAGGGATCAAGTGGAAACCCTCGTCCCAAAGGAAACCTCTAGGGAAGAAAGGGCGGGAAGGAACGCAAGTAAAGAGGGTCTTGGGTCCTTCGAGTACAGGACGAGCCCGACTTCTGGCTTCTGCAGTCTCTTCCCAGAATCCCTCATTCTCCTCATCATACTCAGGCGCCTCCGATCGATCAACGATATCTGTACCATGGAAGTAACCAATGCCACCGACAAGGTTAGACAACATTGACTTGGAGAACTGTAGATATTCCGCAGTGTCAAACGGAGCTTGCGGAGGATGGATCTTCTCGAATCTATCAGAGAAGGCGAGGGATGCTGTGTTAATCTGCTCAGTCAAGATGTCCGCTAGTGTAAATCATTAGTTGATAGTCATTAGAGCTTGTGGGTTTGTTTTTTTCTCACATGTCAACGGTAGCGGTGAAGATCCGGACGAGAAGAGAATATCAAACTGGCTTAAGTTAGCAACTAGGTACCGTAAGAGTTCTTCTTCAGGTTATCAACCTCAAAAGCGCCCTTGAAGACCTTCTGCACGAGGTGAATATTTCCATCGCCGGGTTCGTTCTTGATCGTGAAGATTTGAGAAGCAGGCGGGGGGTTCTCCTGGCCGTGCTTCTCAATAGCAGCATCAACCTCTTCCTTCATCTTGGAGAACAAAATCACTACCACAATGTCAGTACCCATTCTCTAAAGCGCGAAAGCGTTTCCACCAATGGAGAATGTCTACCTTTCGTCTGCCACAATTGTTCCGGGTTCAAAGCCAAGCTAGACACCAGTGTACGGTCCAGGGGCTTTTCATCATAAGATGGGTGGTCATTTTCAGGGTGATCATTGCTTGCGGGACCAGCAGTGACATCAACCGAGAAAGCACCAAGGTCCGAGGTATAGCCCGTAAGCTTCACGTCGCCTTCGAAGCCGCGGGAGTCCTCGGATTCAGTGGTCACGCCCAGGTTTCCGAGTCCCTCCAGCCCAGTGTAGAAAACAACTGTCGTTGACTGATCGGGGGAGCCATTCTCGCGGGGAACACCCTTCACACGAGCAGCCCAGCTGCCTCCATGCTGTCCACCGGGGACCTTGATAAAGTCGATCGTCATGTCGAGAGCATTGCCTTCGTCGTGGATTGTCTGGCGGCCACCCTTCCGAATGTCGTACTCGTCCCAGCCGTACCCGGCCATCCCCTCGTTCTGTTCGCATGTGTGCCTAAAGTCTTTGGACAAGTCAGTATATGTGCACCCCAATCGCCCTTCTCACTGCGAAACTTACTCTGCTGTGCCGTGGCATAGTTGTCCACGTTGGCCCACATCAGCCCGGCAAAGAAGCTGTTGGGAATTCGAGGGCGGACCCCGAAGTACAGGTTCGGCTTGTAGGGACCCCATAGTAGAGATTGGTTGTTGGCCCTTGCAACCTCGTTGGTCAAGACGGATAGATCATCTGCTGGAGCTTGGTCGGAGAGCACCGTAGCGGCATTGAGTAACGGCGCTAGCAGCAATGGAAGTTTAGAGAGATGCATTTTCCCGAGAAAGCATCGAATGAGAATTTGCAAGTCTCACGGATAGGGATTGGTCATGGGAAGAAGCCTAAATCGATAAAGCTTCTTCCTTTAAGAGTGAGTAGTGGTGGTGGTGGTACGCAATGTGAAATAACTATCTGTCATTTAATCCGCAGGAGCATCGGCCGCTCTTCCGCTCCGCAACTTACGTGGCCCAAGCTCCGCAGTGCCGCGGCCGCTGGGCCACGGTAGTCTACGACGTACCTGCGCTAGTACTGTACTGTACCTCTGCAGTCTGAGCAAAAGACATACTGAGTATATATAGAAGAAGGCAATTAAGGACGTATTCACTTTCTTCGGCTTCTATGTATCTATACTCCCTTCAAAAGTATTCTCTTGGGTCAAGCGCTCTAATGCGTGCGCTTTTAGCCTCCCCATCGAAGACAAACTCGCTGATGAGTTTACCGGTGCCAGGCGCATTCTGGATACCCCAGCAGGTGTGACCAGCGGCTAGATACAATCCCTTCGTGCCCGTGTGGCCGATCATGGGGCCTCCGCGGGCAGCAGCCACATTTGGCAAGTAGCAAGCCTGTCGCGCGCAGATGTCTCCATTGCGAAGGCGATCAGATATACTGCCCACCTGGTTGATGATCTCTTGGCATCGCACCTCGTCAACCTCGACCTCGGCGGACGTCGGAGGCAGGGGAACAGTTTGATCACCCTCACCACAGGCGTAGACAGTGGCGTCCGGACGAGCGTAGATCTCCGGACTTGCCACATCTGGACGAGAGGGCTTGGTTGGATCGAAGTTGGCCGGAAGCGCAATGTTGGTGAACAGGGTGTATGCGCTGACCGGTTGTTGGGGACGGATCACAACACTGTGGGCACGAGTCGCTGTGATGGGTGCTTCCGGCAGAACGGTCCTCGTCCAAGGACCTGCAGCAACAATAACATCAGTTGCGGAGATAGTCTGCGATTCCCCGGTCTTCTTATCAGTATAGGTCACCGACTGGACAGCGTCCTCGGAGTAGTTGATGCCAGTAACCGATCCCAGGGTAATCTTTGCGCCACTTTCCTCGGCTAATTTAGCGATGGAAGTGGTAAAAAGGTAAGGATGGACTTGAGCTGTCTCCCCAGGATCGCTCATGCTCTCATAGCCTCTCACAAGCTCAGGCTCAATCCAATCCAAGTCTTTCGGCACTCGAGCAGACTTCAGCTTCTCCAAGGCAGCGGCGCTTCGTTTCTGCAGCGACACGGACTCTTCTGATTTACCCCCACTTTGCTTTTTCTTCTCAGGCAGTCGTCGACCGTCAATGATCAGCTGCCCACAGTTGACTTCACGATACCCCCATCGGTCCTTGCCATTATGCTCCTTGGCCAATTCGGCGTGCAACTTGTAACTCAGCGGCACGATGCTGCTCGGATATGCCCATAAAGCCAGCAGACCCCCAGCTTTTCCCGACGCTCCTCCTGCGATCTCGGTTGCTTCAATGAGAGTCACTGAGTGGCGAGATGGGTCAAAGGACGGATGGCGTGTCAAGTAGTAAGCTGAGCAGCATCCGATGATACCACCGCCTGAAAACAAGCTGTTAGCATAAAGTCGCATCAGTCGTGCGGGGTAGATCTACTGAACCATGAACATACCCACAATGACAATCTCACGGCGCTCGCTGCTGGTGGACATCCTGCGATATGGCGCAAATCTAGAGCCTATAATCCTTAGTGAAGCCACGATTGGCGATTCTATCGCAGGAATATGTCCGTGGTTCAGGGGAAAGAACCAGAAGAGGGGGGTGGAGAGGGCTTCTTAAGAGCACCTACGTCACTCCCGTCATGTGTTCCCGAGCGCTTACTGGGCGCCGATAAGAGGCTTGAATTACTTGATTTTCAATTAAACCCGTCTATAAAGTGCAGGCAGATTTAAGTAAGTCAATATTCATTCGCCTGGTTTTTAAGTTCGAAAAAGCAAAGGCCACCCGTAATCTTACTCCAGCAATGCATGTTGCGACAAGGGGAACAAAAACAATGATATCACCCAATAATAAAAGCAATGACAAGAAGATAGAAAAGATGTGAGTGAGGAGATGGCTTGTAGGTAACAGCAGATAAGAAAATCTTTATGAGGGAAGAAGATCTGCGATGGAGATCACTGCCTCGACGGACTGAGCGGTCTGTTGAATCCTCCTATACGGTTCATGTACTGTCTGTACTCCGTCTTTTTCTCCTTCCGAACGCCATACACATTGTTTCCGGGGACCTTCGTGTTTTTCGTGCTCCGGAATCTTGTAAAGCCCATGTTCCGCCGCATCATCTCTTCGAAATCGTCATCGTCGGCGGCATCGTCGATATCCATCTCGGTCTCATCCCGAGGCCGGCCATGTCGCGATTTTGTATCCGCGACACCGTTCGCCTGTGCTCGGGGATCTCTGCGATCAGGATTACGGTCGGCCCTGGGGCCTCTTGGGGGTGGCGTCCTGGATTTGTCTCTGTTGCCATTCCGGACAGGGGATCGGGACCGATATCTGTCTCCCTTGGATGGATAGCCTGTAGCACCAAGTTAAACACGTTACCGGCTGGATAGGGTTCAGCGAGCCACATACCTCGTTTACCATGATACCTCTCCCTGCTGATACTTCTCTCCCTCGTACCTCGCCCGTCACGGTCTCGGTCCCTTCGATCACGATCCCGACGATCGCCTGACCTGCTCCTATCGCGCCGCCTGTCTCTCCGGTCCCTCGAGCGAGAGCGGTATCTTCGATCATCTCTGGGTCCATCGCGCCGGCCTTGCTCCTTTCCATGCTCCCGCCGCGGGCTTCGGGTGTAGTCTAACTCGGGCTCGGGCGAGCGTGTTCTCCTGTCATCTTGATCCCACATTGTAGAGCTATCGGGTCTCCGTGCACGTTTCGCTGGAGGCTCCGCCATTTTGCCGGTCTGTAGGTTTTGGTCTCGTAGTAAGTATGCGCTGAAGTGGCGGGTAGGCTATGTTGTGAAGTCGATGCGTGAGGTTTTGTTCCCGCGGCGAATGATAACGGGTAGGGGGCGAGACTGGGAAAATGTGTCTATGGCAAAACTTGAAAGCAGGTCAAATCATGGCAGTCATCATTCTAGTGGGCTTATTCAATTGCACGAAGATGCTCTGACTGGTAGCATATAGGGGCGTGTCCGAGAAATTGTGTCCAGTGACTGACTCCAAAACCAAAGCTGAAAGCGTGAAGTTGTTACGGTCGCCGGTTTGCACCATGAACGCGGCTAGCTCAATACCGCGGAAGCTTGGAGGCAACTTCGGCTTTCGGAATCATTATCAACTATTATTTACTAGCCTTGACACATTGATCATCTCCTGCGATCTTGCTTATCTGTAGCCTCATGCTGTAGTCAGACGGTTTAGACTGCATAGCATACTATTCAAACGAAGCGAAAAAAAAAATTAAAACAATGCACTTTTGTGCACCGTTCCATAGTTGATTCCCAATGATCAAGCCAGTGAACTTCGTTGCAGATTGATTCGCAGCAAACTCTTGATGCATGTTATACATTTTCATAAGGGCATTTGCCAGATGAGTTGGTGTTTGGAGTTTGATGTTTGGCGTATTTCACTTTCAAATTCAGCAGCAGGGGCGATGTCATATGGGTCACAGAATCACGGGTGATGAAGACATATCCGTCGAACCACTAAGCTAAATTGCAACAAACAGCCTGCAAAGCCCACAGAGTATCGATCATCGAAGCGCTTTTCTGAAATGGAGGTTTTCTACATACGAATATAGCTGTTTCTTGCAATCTGGTGGAATAAACATACATATCCAGCGCTCTGGTCAGAATAATTGTCAGAAGTTGACAGTGGCGGTAGGGGAGTGAGTACATGAGAATCTGCGAGATGAAAAGCACGATAAATTGCTATTATAGGGTCGTCAAGGCTTGTGCTAGCTCCCAGCTGCCTTAGACCGTGACATGACAGCTGAAAGCCAGGCCACCATCTCTTTTGCTGGGTGGACTGTTCTCCAGTCTAGATGGGGAGTGGCGGGTGCTGTATCGGTAGGAAGCTGATACCGATTATGCTGGCGGGAAGGTCAGTTCACAGAGACTAATGCAATTAGTTGAGGAAAAACTGATATGGATCGATCATAAGGACATCGATTCCATGTCGACATGTATAGATCGAAAAGGAAAAGAAGTCCGGTGGATCCAACAACTATGTACATCGGAAGCAGGCGCTGAGCTTAAACCCGGCAAGGTTGCTGATTGGAACTTTTGGGGGAGGCCGAACCCCTCCAGAGGTTAAGCTCCCCGCCGGCGTTCATTATTGCATGCAAAAAGCGACCCCGCAATCTGCGCATTTTCTTCAATGTCCGTTGCTCCCCACGGCCCGAATCCAGCAGAATGGCTCCCACCAACACCTCCCACAGACAGACTCATAACCTACTCTTGATATCGAAACTTCTCAGTCTCAGAGATACAGCGTCGCCACTTGCGCTGGTATTGGACTCTCTAGAGCAGCCCGCAACCCCATTGATCAAGGAATACATCCGACGCGCCAAGGTGATTTCACCCTTTCTACATAGTTTCGGCGAGACATGACTTTCCCTGGCGAGCTTTGCGTCTGTCTTCATACCCAACTGTCCAGCCGGTCTACGTCTCGCCGCTGCGTGAGAAGGTGACTAACGCTCTTCCAAGTTATCCAAAGTTCATATCACGTTTGTCGCATTCGAGACGCTGAAGCCGCTCGAGGGTGTCGATGCCTTCGTTGCCGCTCGGAAGAAGAGCCCCCTAGAGATCATCAAGGCTGTCAATGAAGCCTACCCAAATGTTTCGACCAGCGGTCCCTCTCGCAGTACGTATATGCGACCTCCGTTCTGGCAACACGGTTCAATGGCAACACGACTAACACCAAAGCCAGGGCGCCTGATTCTGATCGATGCCATTAACCCGCTCCTGCATGCGAGGAGGACCGACGCACAATTCAACGTATCGTCGTTCCTGAGCTCATTCCTCATGCCACACGGCCCCCCCACGGCCTCCAAAGTCGAAGCCTCGCTCGTGGTCACCTTTCACCAGGACGTCCCCAGCCCGCCGCTTCCGTCGCCGTATACCCCGTCGCCCCTGTCCATGTTGACCTACCTCGCCACCACGATCATCCGCCTGCACTCCTTCTCACACATCATGGCTCAGAAGGCAGCTCGCGATAGGAGTCTGGTGCCGCCGGTTTTTGGTCTGGAGGAAGAGCTGGATGGCGTGCTTCTGGGCAGGTTGGATAAGCCGATCGGCAACGAAACCGCCCAGGGCGTTGTGCTGGAGTTGGAGCACCGAAGAAAGAGTGGCCGCGGCGTTCTGGAATGGTACATCCTGCCGCCGGCTTCGCGCTATCCCCCACAGTATGCGAAGGAGATCGTGACGCTGCTGGATGACCACCCATTGTATCGCCCGCCAGAGGAGCCGGACTTTGGCGCGGGAGAAGAGGAACCCGAATCGACTTTTGAGCTCCGTCTTACAGATCGACAGAGGAGGGATCGGGAGGGTGTCGTGCTGCCGTACTTTGATGCGCAGCAAGGCGACGGCCCAGGCGAAGGTGGCCGGATCTTGTACGACATGGGAGAGGAAGACGACTTTGACGAAGAGGAGGATGAGATTTGAGAGAGATACACCGGCCATAAAGTCTGTTTCACGGAGCTGACAAGCTGTTTAGATGCTGGGTCGAACGATCCCACGCTTTCTTTGGCCCGCAGAATATGACTACCTTCACGACTTATGATTATTTAGAGAGACTCGAAATCTATCACACATGCGTCACACGTGCCTCACACATACACACACTCGCTGCAGACAATAAAAACAGGAATTGTATCAATTCAGAAATTCTCTCGAGTTCTGAGCCAAGGACGATGGTGTCCTGCATCCACCGAAGACATTAACTACGCATACATTCATATTAGTGGGTATACAAATTTGTGGCTACCAAGCGCAGACATTAGAAGAAGCGCCACCAGATCATGAAAAGGAGAATGAAGCCGACGCCTGCGAAGGGGCCGTACTATGGAAAACGGTTAGCGGCACTCTCTATGTGTCATGGGAGCACGTTTGTACTCACCTGCTTGACAAGCAGCTCCCAGTTGATGCGGACAGCCGCTTTCCTGTACTTCTTGCTGTCTTCCCGAAGACGGCCGGACAACTCTCCCATGCGTTCCAAGCTATCACCACGGTACAGTAGATCCTCGATGTTCTTGGTCATCACTTTTGTCACATCCCGGAGTTCGTCATTCAACCGGTCCAGGTTCGCCGACGCACGACTGTCCTGGTAAAGCTTCTTGGTCCGCTGAATGAAGGTATCAAACTCCACAAAGGCGTACGGTCGCAGGGTGGGGGATTGGTACTGTGTCAGCGAGTAGGTGGTGGTGAATTCGGTCGCCAGGTCGGCGAGATAAGTGAACGCAAGCTTGCGGGGGTAGGAGCGATCGCATATGCAGAGGAAGCAGATATCGTCTTGGATGATATAGCTAGATAACGAGCCGGGGAGTGAGCACATAAGCTGGGCCCGAAAACATTCACTCTGTCCTTACTGTAGACTGAACTGGCCGGATTCAATGCTCGCCTGCGGCTCTGAATTGCGGTTCAAGCGACGGAATATCATCTTCGCCTGAGACTTGATCTCTGACAGTTCCACCTCTGACTGTGCAAGGAAAGAAAGCGCTCTGTGTTAGTGACGATCTCATTGTGTTTCACATTCACTTGCAATTCACTTGCAAGCGCTCCGCCGACTGACTGACCTGTTCATCATCCACCGACGCTGCCAACATCAAGCCTGTCTCCAAACATTAGCGCAAGCTGCGGACACACACACCCCTCTCCCCGTAACAGCAGCAGTAACATTCCAAGCATACCATCGATTCTGGCGATTTGAGTTGACCTGACCATCTTGACCGTGAGATATTCAAAGTTGATTTTTTTAAGAAAGAAAAACAGGCTGAACTGCTGCGTCAGTGACACTGTTATAGACACCAGTTATCGCTGTTGTTCTACTCCGACTTATCTGGCCCAGCCAGGCCAGGCCGCGGAACAATGGCCCCAAAGCGCAAGGCGGTCGATGCCGGCAATTCGGAGTGTCAGCGAGTGACGAGGTACGACCGACCACCAGTCCGTCCGTCCGCTAGATTGATTGTCTGTCATGCGCGCGCGCGCCTGAAGGTTGCAAATCGGTTGAATCGACTGAATCTGTGGAAAGAGGGAAAGACCATTACTCTTATTGGCAATGCTGAATTTGAAGTGATGTTCCAGGAGCCGAACAAATCGATTTTCGAAGGCGGAGGAGCCACAGCGCAACCCGGGCGAACCTAATAATAGCAGCAGCTGTGCGATGTCATCGACAAACGCCAGACCGAAGCGGAATCCGAGGCGGGCAGCCGCGAACAAACAATGGAGTGAGGAGCACCTGATGACTAGCCCGAAGTCGCGGCTGGTTGGCTTGGACTTGGTGGTATGTGTCTCAGCTGAGGTTGACAGTTTCCCCCCCACGAGGAGGTTACTTGGTACTTTGATTGGTGGATGGGGAGACTAATGATTGCGATCTATATTCTAGAAATTGCTTCGCCATCCTGAAGCCTGGACATGTCTGGAAGAGAGTGAGAAGGAGGAAATTCTCAAACTCCTTCCCGACAACGCGCACCCGAACCCTTACCCTCAAGCTGGCGACCCAGACGCAAAGATCCCCCCACCACCGGAGTCCTTTCTCCGCTACTCGAATAATTGGCGCGACGGCATCCGCCAATTCCAGCTGGATCTCCAGCACGGTCGCTACCATCCGGAATGGCAGCGCCAGGCGGAGAAAGCCGTCGAAGAGAGGGCGGCTGGGAAGTTTGATCGGTTCAAGGAGGAGGAGTTCGAGGAGTTCTGGGGCCAGAAACAGAAAGTCGACCGGAGGCTGGTGGCTGGACAGAGCTCCCAGGTCAAACTGAAGATGCTCACTGATCACGGAGTGATCTGTGAAGGCGATATCTTGAAGTATTCCCGGGTTTTCTCCACAGGCAATCAGAAGGTCCTTGTGGAGAAGGAAGCTAGGGTATGTGAAGCCTCCTGGTGCCTTTCCTTGGTCGCATAGAGGAAGTCCGGGTTGCTAACCCCTTGCCAGATCGTGAAGATTGAGGGCGCAGACTTGACCGTCGCCGTCCCGCCGGGGCAGCGTGTCTTCCTTTTCTCTGCGCCGGATTCCGCTATAGGTTCGATGAGCCCAACAAATGGAGAGAACTCAAAGGTTGACACAGAAACCACCGAAGCAAATGAACGACAGCGGGCCGGTGAGACCAACACAGGATCGGAGCTGAAAGCCGAAAAGACTGAGGCTATCTCTCATCATAAACGCGCGTCAGATTCTGAGCACCCTGACAGCAAGAGGCAGCGCTTGGAGTCTCCGAACACCAATGCAACTGACAACCTGGATTTGAACAATATGGAAGATCAAACACCTACGGAAAGTTCACTTTCTGAGGGCAAACCTCAGTGTTCGGAGTCTCAAACCAGCACTACAAATGGTAATCTAGACCCGAAAGACATGGAAATCCAGGCATCTACGGATCAGCCGCCTCCCAAACCAGATTCCAACCAGGATAGCCCAAATCCAACCGCGGCACTGCCTACAGACCACGCCCAAGACGCTAAGGAGATTATAGTCTCCAACATCCAGGGACTCAATGCATTGGCCTCGAAAATCATAGAAATAGATGGGCGGATCAAGAAGGTGCCAAATGGTAATGCTTGGAAGGAGTTCCGAGCTCACAGAAACAACCAGGACATAGGGAGCTTGTGGGAAGTCAGACAAGCCTGGTTTGTGCGCGAGAACAAGAGGGGAACATCAACATAATTGATGTAGGTACCGTTTCGACCGAGCCTGGGTGAATTCGATCTAAACACAGCCTGTCATTGGACTAGTCTAGGATAGTAGAAATCGGATGAAACTGGCTGGCTGACAACATGTCGCCATGCTTTATTAATTGATTCATGAACTTGCTTCAGGTTGCTTCCTGACCAGTGCCCATGCCGTCATCCTTGGGTATCCGGCTAGTATCATCGGCCGCATAGTCAACAGCAAAGCTAGATTGAATGAAGTCCTCGAGTTCTTCGCTGACCGTCTTCAACTTTTCCTTTACACTAGCAACACCCTCCTGGCCCACAATATGTCGCGAGGGTGGGTTTTCATGGCCCCCAATTGCCGTTATAGCATACACGGTCTCGGTGACCAGGACTTCCATGTGCGCAGAGCTGAGCGGAGGGTACGTGGAGATGACATCTGGCGCAGAAAACGGACCGTCTTCGAAAGGATTACTTCGGTGGGAGCTGACCGAGCCATTTGCTAGACCCGTGTTACGAGCATCATGGTTAGGCAGGCGAGAGACGAGACGATTCAAGATCCCGCGGAACAACGGCGCATGGTTGACTGAGGAAGAGTAGACGGGGGTGATTGGAGGTACACTTGTAACCAGATTGGTCAGGATTCCGATTTCAATGCTGCACTGGAAAATGGTAAGTTTGACATTGAAGGGGGCTATCTCGTATGCGAGACTCTAGAAAGTGGTGACAACATTAGCGACGATTATGTATTCCGTATCCAGAGAAACACTCTTACATCGCAAAAGCCCTCAAGAGCCCAGCCTGCAGCGCAGTACATTCCTAAGCCCGGTGTGCCGATGTGAGCAGCTGCTTGCTGTTAGTGTGGATGCTCAGTTTCGCGAGGCTTGTGCAAGCTCTTACTTATGCCAGAAAGAATCATGATATGCCCTGACTTTTGTCTACGCATATGGGGAAGTGTCGCCTTGATGATGTTCAAGGGGCCGAAATAGTTGATCTCGAACTGATCCCGAACCAAGTTCAAGGTCTGTTGGGAAGCTGCTAGCTCTTCCACTGTACCAATGAGGGCTATGTAGTTGGTTAGCGGGAGATGCACTGGATGTGAGGTCGGGCGTGTTGGCTGACGTACCTTGACTTGTGCAGCAAAGGAGAATGTCTACTCTCCCGAATGTCGCAACGGCTTGCGCGACCACTGCTTGGCATTCACCGACCATTCTGCGAGATGGATGTAAGCATGCGCCATACCTAATAGTGAACGAAGCGAATAAGATTGACCGCGCGCACCTTATATCGAGGGGAACAGCCATGAATCGCTGCCCCCATCCCTCGTCGCTGTGGCTCTCGATCTCGGCCAGAAATGCGTCGAAGCCATCGCGACGACATTCGTCTCGATCTGACTCTGAGTACGCCCGTCCTACCAGAGCGCAGTCACCATGCTTGAGAATCTGGCGAGTAACTGATATCCCGATAGGCGAGTCTCCAGCCGTGATCACCCAAACCCGTGGCTCATGATGGGCAGGAAACTGAGGGCGGGAGTAATCGGGAGAAGGATGATTGTCCGTCATTGGAGTTTAGGCCGACATTCGAAAGCCCAGCATGTCGAATTGCGCGACGAGACGCCCAGCAATACCACGTCGTAGACCCCAGTTGTAAACAGGGTTTACTTAGTTTTCGTAACGTGGGGCGGAATCTCTTTGCGCGGGGTTGCGTGCGATCTCCGGTGCGGCGGTGATAGTACGGAGTAGATGGAGATTGTAGCTGGTCGGTCGGCAAGACCCGATTTATGCCCAGTGAGTATGTCATGCTCGTAGCCCGCCCGGCGATAAGACGGACCCGCAAAAACACCCGGCCATTCTGGGCCGGCCATCGCTTGCCTCCGCCGCCGTCCTTCGCGCGTGGCCTTTTCTTACCTTCTCCCCTTCTCCCCTTCCCCACCTCGTTCTTGTTCTACTGACCAGATAACAGGCGGTCAAAAATGCCTGAACAAAGACAACGTAGGGAGGAGGAGGGGCTAGGCGTGAGTACATGCCGCGTCTTTCTGCATTGATTCAACTCCCAGTGGCTGACACCTTGGTTTCTGCTTTCTAGTCCGGCCTCAGAGGCGTCCTTCAGGGCCTGGCTGTCTTTATGTTCGCCAAGTTCATCATGGGCCAGTTCATGGGCGGCAATCAGGAAACCACTGTCTCTGGCGCAAAGTCAAATGACGTGCCCAGTTTTGCTGCTCGTCCGCCTCGCAGCCAGATCCCCAACTACAGCCACATCCCTGACCTCGTCTCGCCAATCTGGCCTACCGATAGTTCTCTCGACATGAACATCTATGTCTCTCCTTCCATCGCTGTGCCAAACCTCAAGACTCTCCCGTCTGGCTCACTTGTCTTGGAAGAGAGGAATTTCATTCTCGGTAATTACAGCGACACCAGGGAAATTGATACGACCGTTAAGGTTCCGAAGGAAGTTCAGCGCAACGGTACACTCTGGGCACACTTCTTTGTTGGGCTGAGTGGACATCAACTTGATCCTGCAGCAAAGGACTATAGCACGGATAGCGCAGTTCACTTCTATCGCCCGTTGAACCAGTACCTCCCTAAGAAGAAGGCCAAGAAGCTCAAGAGCCTGCTTGCCTCTAACGACCAAGCTGCAGAGGAAGAGGTCGATGACACCCCAAATGTGTCAATCGCGTCGTTTTATCATCCTAACTTCACAGTTTCTTTCATTCCTGACTCCGGGGCCCAGAAGTATCGTCAAGTTCATCCTGCCATCAGACACCACATGCAGCTGGAATCCAGCGGTGCGAGGGATGCCACCGGACAGAACGGGTGGTACTACCCAATTGTTTTCCTCAACACATTCTGGCAGCTCAAGACCCATATGATGGAGCTTAACTCGACTGTTGACACTGTCCCTTTGCGCATCACCCTCAACAATCTGCAAAATTGGAAATTCAACATGATGGCCAGTCTTGATGCCAACGCTAAGGAGACCGCCCGGCAGGCTGCCTTTGGAAACGCTGCTCCGGGCGGCAGCGATGGCTCCGAGTTTGAAATGATCAAGGAAGTACTATTGGACACGAACATCTGGCTTCTGGGAACCACTGGTGTGGTCACCATTCTCCACATGGTTTTCGAAACTCTCGCGTTTAAGAACGACATTGTAGGTTATGCGCAACCCATGCTTAGGCGGGGTCATTTAGTGGAGACATTACTAATGGTTGGATCTGCAGTCTCACTGGCGTAAGAAGAAGGATGTCGTCGGCACTTCCGTCCGCACTATCCTGGCCAATGTGTTCATGCAAGCTGTTATCTTCCTCTATCTGATGGATAACAGCGAGAATACGTCCTGGATGATCCTTGCCAGTCAAGGCTTCGGTATATTGCTTGAGGCGTGGAAAATTACGAAAACTGTAGACGTGCGCCTGCGCCCGCCGCCAGCTGGATCGTTCTTTTCCTTCCTACCTTACGTGGTGGTCTTCGAGGACAAACATAAGCTCAGCGAGACCGAGCAGAAGACGAAGGAATATGACGAAATCGCGTTCCGTTACCTCTACATCATCGCCGTGCCTCTTCTCGCAGCATACGCAGCCTACAGCCTGATCTACAACACTCACAAGTCATGGTATTCCTATGTCATTGAGACCCTCGTTGGAAGCGTCTACGCGTACGGCTTCCTGATGATGGTTCCTAGTCTGTATATCAACTACAGACTGAAGGTCAGTAAATAGTCCGGGTGGAATCGACCTGTCTCCATTGCTAACAAAATGATAGTCTGTCGCTCACATGCCCGGCAAGGCGCTGATGTACAAGTTCCTCAATACTTTTATCGATGACCTTTTCGCATTCACTGTCAAGATGCCATGGCTTCATAGACTCGCCACACTTAGAGACGATGTGATTTTCTTTGTCTGGCTTTACCAGGGCTGGAAGTACAAGGTCGACTACACACGTGTCAACGAGTTCGGCCAGGGAGGAGACAGTGAGGATGAGGACGAAGCTGCCCCGGCTGAGAAGCCCAAGGTTGAAGCGTCAGCTACCGCATCTGGCAACCAGAAGTCTAAGGAGGCGGCAAAGAAAAGAAAGTAGGGTGATGCTTGTCATGAGTCTGCGAGTGTTTCAATAAAGGAAACGTGCTTGGGAGCATCTTGATTGCACGGCAGAGTCTATCTTAGTCAACATATTCTCATGGATCTCTAAACCATCAATCGCCCCACACAATGGCACGTGGCGTCTTCTGAATATAGAAATGTATTGAGCCGACGCGGTCCGTAATAATTCGATTTGCATTGTACCCGGAGAATGAGCTCGGCGATCTATATAAAAAAATAGTATATTTTTCTTATGACTCAACACACTGAATCTCTTTCTGAGTCTGATGCGATTCTTGGCCTCTAGACAAGTGCTGTAGTGTGCGCCGTTGTTGAGAGACATGGAGCTGAACGCTCGCCAGTTGATCGCCAAATCTGGTAAAGTTTGCCCAACTCCGAATTCCCGCGCCTCTCTTCCAGATCTGCGAGTGCGACCCAGTTTATTGGCAATCAAAGCCTGCATACGCAAGAGAAACCATAGACGGGACTCTAGTCGAGAGTAGTGGGTGTTATTATCGCTGGTTGTTCTTTGTGGCAAATCAGTCAAGTATCGTGCAGTTGACGCGACAAGTTCGAATTCGCGCGCGACTTGGATGATCTAGAACAACAAGGCGTCGGTGCAGCCTGATATGCGCTAGGAGATTTCGCATTAGAATTACACTGAAGACATTCGCTCGGATCGATAAGAAAAATAAATGACTACGATGTCATCGGACTCGGACAGAGGTTTGTCAAGAACCTGACTTTGGTTGACTATCGGTGTTAATAGTCCATTCAGGCTCCGACGTCGCGCCAACTAGCCTACAGGATGCGATTGAGCAGTTTGAAGCTGGTAAGTCCCTTGGCACCCAATTCCCTTGAAGCTTTGGATCTTTAACTCCGATCAGTTGCTTTTATTCCCTCAAAGCAGCGATACACGGATGCTGGCCAGCTGGCCAAAACAATAGCTACACGCGCCTACGAGAGCGGGATTTCTCGGCTTGGCCTCGAACGACTTATTAAAGTCCTCACCAAGAGCAACCATCTTGATCAAGGAACAATTACCACTCTCGTCAAGAACTTATACCCGCAAGAACGGATATCCTCAAAGATCGTTATCCAAGTTGTATGCTGCCTAGGACCTGCCAAGACAAAGCCCAGTCCGGCGACGCAGGCTCTGCTTCTGCGATGGCTGATTCTTGTATACGATTTTCTGGATGATAGGTCCCACCTGTCAAAGCTCTATGCGGTACTCTTCAACCATCTTGACATGATAAGCTTGCGAAAGCCTCTGTGCCACCTGCTCTCGCTTATCACCAGGCGCAAACATGTCAAACCTTTCAGGATCCAGGCACTGATGGAGCTTCTCGGTGCTTCTGGGGGTGACGATAAAGAGCTCCTTACTCTGCTCAGGGCTTTCAAGAACTACTGCCCGGATGTCATTGTGGGCGATTTTGGGCCTTCAGGGCGAAAGGCATTGTTCTTTAAACACCCTGATCCTGAGTGGACAGCTCACGTGAGACAGGTCCAAGAAACGCATTTGGAGAAGCTTCAGGCAACTCAGCCATCAAATTTCCAGGTAGTGCATCGCGGACTCGTCAAGCGAGGGAAAATGGAGGTTATTGTGCCTGATGTCCAAACATCGCGCGTTTCATTATACCATACCGCGTTGGAGGAGTTGCGCAGTGTGGAACACTTTGTCGAAAGACTTGATCGCATTGAACTCCCTAACCAGATAATATCCATGATGGGAGACGCTTTGGCTCAGAAGTATCTCTTTCTGGCTCAGCCCGAGGCTGCGCACCAACGTCTGAATGATTGGCTGAAAGGCTTCCTTGATGATCAATTAGAGCGCATCCATAATCATGATCAAGAAGGGCTAGAGTCGCTCGGATACATTCTAGACCTTGCACTGAACTATGCGCAATATACAAAGGTATGGCTTCCGGCCCAGTTTCGTCTATAGTGTATACTTACTCGACCACAGGAAATACCCCACGCCTTGCTCCCATTCCTGCAACAATATGTCCTTCTGTGGAACGGCTATGACAAGCAAGAGAAAGTGCTCCATTTACTATCATATTTACCTCTCCAAGAATATGAACCCCTGCGGCAGGAGTTCTTACACCATGTGGAGGCCTCAGTATTAGACGGCACGTCTCACTCTCAATCGGTTCTTCTAGACTTCTACTCTTTGTTGATCCGTCGATGGGGTGTGCGCCTGAGATCTCAACCCTTCAGCGCCCATGAGTATAAGCCACTGGGGCGCCTTATCTCACACGCAGAACTCTTGGCTTTGTCGAGTCTCGAGTCTACAATCCAGCCTACAGCAGACGGCGGAAGTGAAAGGCCAAAGCCTGCTACATTGTCCGTCCTTGATTTCTACTGCACCTTGGCCGAATTATTTTCGCACGCATCGTCGAATGGCAGCATCCGTCTTACGATCCCTCTCGCTCCGACAGTCTACACCCTTGTATTCACCCTGATTAGCTCGGTTATATCGATCATGAGCTCGGTCCTTGCAACCTACAAGTCGTCATTCGAAGCTTCTCTCACATCTCCAGTGTTGCAGGTCCCTCACTCTACCGACTCACTATATCCGACAGACCTTGTGGGTCAATTCAACGGATACATAATGGATATCTGCAATTTGCTCTGGCGCAACCGCGGACTCAACTCGGAAGACCC